GGCCGAAATCGTAGGCGCCGAAATTTTCTTCGCACAAGAACCAGGCCAAAAAGGTTCTAGTACGTGTATGTTAACATGGGCCACTTTAATATGCAATAAAATTCAGGTTGTTGAGTGCTTTTACCTACGCCTATAAGTATTCACGCGCTTTCTAGACACTTGGCGGCAAAAACGGCCGAAATCGTAGGCGCCGAACTTTTCTTCTCACAAGAACCAGGCCAAAAAGGCTCTAGTAGGTGTATTTGAACATAGGCCACTCGAATATGCAATTATTTCAGGTTGTTGAGAGCTTTTCCCTGCGCCTATTAGGATTCACGCGCTTTCTAGGCACTTGGGGGCAAAAACGGCCAAAATCGTAGGCGCCGAACTTTTCTTCGCGTAAGAACCAAGCCGAAAAGGCTCTAGTAGGTGTATTTGAACATGGGCCACTCGAATATGTAGTAAAATTCAGGTTGATGAGTGCTTTTCCCTACGCCTATAAGGATTCACGCGCTTTCTAGGCACTTGGCGGCAAAAACGGCCGAAATCGTAGGCGCCGAACTTTTCTTCGCACAAGAACCAAGCCAAAAAGGCTCTAGTAGGTGTATTTGAACATGGGCCACTCGAATATGTAGTAAAATTCAGGTTGTTGAGTGCTTTTCCCTACGCCTATGAGGATGCACGCGCTTTCTAGGCACTTGGCGGCAAAAACGGCCGAAATCGTAGGCGCCGAACTTTTCTTCGCGCAAGAACCAGATTGAAAAGGCTCTAGTAGGTGTATTTGAACATTGGCCACTCAAATATGCAATAAAATTCAGGTTGTTGAGTGCTTTTCCCTACACCTATAAGGATTCACGCGCTTTCTAGGCACTTGTCGGCAAAAACGACCGAAATCATAGGCGCCGAACTTTTCTTCCCGCAAGAACAAGGCCGAAAGGGCTCTAGTAAGTGTATTTTAACATGGGCCACTCGAATATGCAATACAATTCAGGTTGTTGAGTACTTTTCCCTACACCTATAGGGATTCACACGCTTTCTCGGCACTTGGCGGTAAAAACGGCCGAAATCGAAACCGCCGAACTTTTCTTCGCACAAGAACCAGGCCAAAAAGGCTCTAGTAGGTGTATTTGAACATAGGCCACTCGAATATGTAATTAATTCACGTTGTTGAGAGCTTTTCCCTACGCCTATAAGGATTCACGCGCTTTCTACGCACTTGGCGGCAAAATCGGCCAAAATCGTAGGCGCCGAACTTTTCTTCGCGCAAGAACCAGGCCAAAAAGGCTCTAGTAGTTGTATTTGAACATGGGCCACTCAAATATGCAATACAATTTAGGTTGTTGAATGCTTTTCCCTACGCCTATAGGGATTCACGCGCTTTCTAGGCACTTGGCGGCAAAAACGGCCGAAATTGTAGGCGCCGAACTTTGCTTCGCGCAAGAACCAGGCCGAAAAGGCTCTACTAGGTGTATTTGAACATGGGCCACTCGAATATGCAATACAATTCAGGTGCTTTTACGTACGCCTATAAGGATTCACGCGCTTTCTAGACACTTGGCGGCAAAAACGGCCGAAATCGTAGGCGCCGAAATTTTCTTCGCACAAGAACCAGGCCAAAAAGGTTCTAGTAGGTGTATGTTAACATGGGCCACTTTAATATGCAATAAAATTCAGGTTGTTGAGTGCTTTTACCTACGCCTATAAGTATTCACGCGCTTTCTAGACACTTGGCGGCAAAAACGGCCGAAATCGTAGGCGCCGAACTTTTCTTCGCGTAAGAACCAGGCCAAAAAGGCTCTAGTAGGTGTATTTGAACATAGGCCACTCGAATATGCAATTATTTCAGGTTGTTGAGAGCTTTTCCCTGCGCCTATTAGGATTCACGCGCTTTCTAGGCACTTGTGGGCAAAAACGGCCAAAATCGTAGGCGCCGAACTTTTCTTCGCGTAAGAACCAAGCCGAAAAGGCTCCAGTAGGTGTATTTGAACATGGGCCACTCGAATATGTAGTAAAATTCAGGTTGATGAGTGCTTTTCCCTACGCCTATAAGGATTCACGCGCTTTCTAGGCACTTGGCGGCAAAAACGGCCGAAATCGTAGGCGCCGAACTTTTCTTCTCGCAAGAACCAGGTTGAAAAGGCTCTAGTAGGTGTATTTGAACATGGGCCATCAAATATGCAATAAAATTCAGTTTGTTGAATGCTTTTCCCTACGCCTATAGGGATTCAAGCGCTTTCTAGGCACTTGGCGGCAAAAACGGCCGAAATCGTAGGCGACGAACTTATCTTCGCGCCAGAACCAGGCCGAAAAGGCTCTAGTAGGTGTATTTAAACATGGGCCACTCGAATAGGCAATACAATTCAGGTTGTTGTGTGCTTTTCCCTACGCCTATAGGGATTCACACGCTTTCTAGGCACTTGGCGGCAAAAACGGCCGAAATCGTAGGCGCCGAACTTTTCTTCCCGCAAGAACAAGGCCGAAAGGGCTCTTGTAAGTGTATTTTAACATGGGCCACTCGAATATGCAATACAATTCAGGTTGTTGAGTGCTTTTCCCTACGCCTATAGGGAGTCACACGCTTTCTAGGCACTTGGCGGCAAAAACGGCCGAAATCGTTGGCGCCGAACTTTTCTTCGCACAAGAACCAGGCCAAAAAGGCTCTAGTAGGTGTATTTGAACATAGGCCACTCGAATATGCAATTATTTCAGGTTGTTGAGAGCTTTTCCCTGCGCCTATAATGATTCACGCGCTTTCTAGGCACTTGTCGGCAAAAACGACCGAAATCATAGGCGCCGAACTTTTCTTCCCGCAATAACAAGGCCGAAAGGGCTCTAGTAAGTGTATTTTAACATGGGCCACTCGAATATGCAATACAATTCAGGTTGTTGAGTACTTTTCCCTACACCTATAGGGATTCACACGCTTTCTCGGCACTTGGTGGTAAAAACGGCCGAAATCGAAAGCGCCGAACTTTTCTTCGCACAAGAACCAGGCCAAAAAGGCTCTAGTAGGTGTATTTGAACATAGGCCACTCGAATATGTAATTAATTCACGTTGTTGAGAGCTTTTCCCTACGCCTATAAGGATTCACGCGCTTTCTACGCACTTGGCGGCAAAAACGGCCAAAATCGTAGGCGCCGAACTTTTCTTCGCGTAAGAACCAAGCCGAAAAGGCTCTAGTAGGTGTATTTGAACATGGGCCACTCGAATATGTAGTAAAATTCAGGTTGATGGGTGCTTTTCCCTACGCCTATAAGGATTCACGCGCTTTCTAGGCACTTGGCGGCAAAAACGGCCGAAATGGTAGGCGCCAAACTTTTCTTCGCACAAGAACCAAGCCAAAAAGGCTCTAGTATGTGTATTTGAACATGAGCCACTCGAATATGCAATAAAAGTCAGGTTGTTGAGTGCTTTTCCCTACGCCTATAAGGATTCACGCGCTTTCTAGGCACTTGTCGGCAAAAACGACCGAAATCATAGGCGCCGAACTTTTCTTCGCGTAAGAACCAAGCCGAAAAGGCTCGATTAGGTGTATTTGAACATGGGCCACTCGAATATGTAGTAAAATTCAGGTTGATGAGTGCTTTTCCCTACGCCTATAAGGATTCACGCGCTTTCTAGGCACTTGGCGGCAAAAACGGCCGAAATCGTAGGCGCCGAACCTTTCTTCGCGCAAGAACCAGCCAAAAAGGCTCTAGTAGGTGTATTTGAACATGGGCCACTCAAATATGCAATAAAATCCAGGTTGTTGAATGCTTTTCCCTACGCCTATAGGGATTCACGCGCTTTCTAGGCACTTGGCGGCAAAAACGGCCGAAATCGTAGGCGCCGAACTTATCTTCGCGTCAGAACCAGGCCGAAAAGCCTCTAGTAGGTGTATTTGAACATGGGCCACTCGAATATGCAATACAATTCAGGTTGTTGAGTGCTTTTCCCTACGCCTATAGGGATTCACACGCTTTCTGGGCACTTGGCAGCAAAAACGACCGAAATCGTAGGCGCCGAACTTTTCTTCCTGCAAGAACCAGGCCGAAAGGTCTCTAGTAAGTGTATTTTAACATGGGCTACTCGAATATGCAATACAATTCAGATTGTTGAGTGCTTTTACCTACGCATATAGGGATTCACACGCTTTCTAGGCACTTGGCGGCAAAAACGGCCGAAATCGTAGGCACCGAACTTTTCTTCTCGCAAGAACCAGGCCAAAAAGGCTCTAGTAGGTGTATTTGAAAATGGGCCACTCAAATATGCAACAAAATTCAGGTTGTTGAATGCTTTTCCCTACGCCTATAGGGATTCACGCGCTTTCTAGGCACTTGGCGGCAAAAACGGCCGAAATCGTACACGCCGAACTTTTCTTCGCGCAAGAACCAGGCCAAAAAAGCTCTAGTAGGTGTATTTGAAGCTGGGCCACTCGAATAATTCAGGTTGTTGAGTGCTTTTCCCTACGCCTATAGGATTCATGTGCTTTCTAAGCATTTGTCGGCAAAAATAGTCGAAATCATAGGCGCCGAACTTTTCTTTGCGCAAAAGCCAAGCCGAGAATGCTCTAATAGGTGTATTTGAATATGAGCCACTCGAATATGCAATAACATTCAGGTTGCTGAATGCTTTTCGCTACGCCTATAGGGATTCACGCGCTTTCTAAGCATTTGTTGGCAAAAACTTCCGAAATCATAGGCGCTGAACCTTTCTTTTTGCAAGAGCCAAGCCGAAAATGCTCAAATAGGTGTATTTGAACATGAGCCACTCGAATATGCAATAACATTCAGGTTATTGAATGTTTTTTTCCTACGCCTTTAGGGATTCATTCGCTTTCTATGCATTTGTCGACAAAAACCAGCCAAAATCATAGGCGCCGAACTTTCATTTGCGCACGAACCAAGCAGAAAAGCCTCTAAAATGTCAAACATGTGAGAAAGAGGAGTCTTGGAAAAAAAAAATTCCAATGACTAGTGACTTCAATGTGTATATAAACCACCCGTTATTGCAAACGAGCCAACAATACAGATATTGAATGCTAGTCCAGTGCAGTCTTGTCCAGCTTCAAGGAGCATCTATAAGCCTCTCGAAGCACCCCCACAGATTCCTCTCCACCTCTTCCAACCCCTGAGCCTGCTGCACTTGTTCCATCACCCACCTTCCTCCCGCCAACAGATGAGCCAGCGGATGCCAGGGCAAGGCCCAGCAAGGCCTTCAGGTGTGACTGTACGAGAAGGCAAAGCCTCTCAGGCGTGTGGCTGTAAAGAGCCTTGGTTTGAGCTTGCTTAGAATCCTTCATGGTTTTGGAATTGGGAACCGGGGGGGAAGTGGGGCCTGGGGGTGGTGATAGTGCAGCCTGCGCTGCCATGAGGTGCCTTAGCACTGCGAGGTGACTCTGGTGGGGCACAGGGGAGGGGAGGGGTAGAGATGGGCGAGCGGAGGCGAATATATTCGTCTCAAAAGTGATAGAGCAGCCTGTGCTGCCATGAGGTGTCTTAGCACTGCGAGGGTCACTCTGTTTGGGGATAGGAGAGGGGTGGGCAGGACAAGAAACGAGGTAGAAGAAAACGAGCAATCTTTGGGCGCATCAAAAATAGATTGTGAAGAAAGAAAGCAGCACCAGCCAGCATTCTCTCTTCATCAGTATCGTCACTCAGTAAATCACAAGTGCATATAGCCACAAATGTGTTGGCACATGCAAGACCACAGAGCACAGCCAACCCCCTCTTTGAGAGCATACCTGCCATTGCTGCTTCTGCCCGCCCAGAAACACTAGCGCCGCCCTCTCCATGCATATAGTCACAAACATGTCTGGATGCGCGTCCGCTCGATAAAAGCACACTGCCTTGTGCCAGTGCACCTCTGCTAACGCTGCCAGACGCTTCTGCTGCTGCTGCCAATCCGCCACACCCCCTGCTGCTCTTCCTGCAGCAGCAGCATCACCAGCAGCAGCACGAAGGGCACAATCCCTGTGGTACCCAGCAAGGTGGAAGTGAGCAAAGGCAGTCTCTTGCTGCCTGCTCGCCCCTAGCGACTCATACAGAATCAGAGCCTTACTCAAAGCGTCCTTGGCCGATACATACCCTCGCACCTCCCACTCCCACTCATTCCCCTCACTCCCCTCCCCTGCCTCCCCTCCGCCTTCCTCCCTCACCCCATCCCCATCCCCTCTCTCATTCTCCACCCTCCCTCCACCGAACCAACTGGAACTATCCGCATTCTCTTTCCTGTTCCCAGCAGGGACCGTTGGAAGGCCCAGGCGTTCTGCAGCGGCCATAAGCATGCCGACTCTTAGATAAGTGTGGGCGAACTGGAGATTCACCTCGCTCCACACCACCCCATACGCCCGCGCTGCTGCTGACTCACTCTCAACCCCCACGCCACCCTTACCTCCTCCTCCTCCTACTCCTACCCCCCCTGCTCCTCCTGCTTCTCCCGCTACGTCCTTACTACCATCGGCAGCAGCATCGGCCTTACCTTCCCCCACGCTCCTCATCAGCTCTCTGCGAGCATCCCCATACCACCCCAAGGCCCGCATATACCGCTGCCTCGCTCTCTCAAACTTGCCCAACAACTCTGCACCAGCACCAGCACCGGCACCAGCAGAGCCACTTTCACCGCCGTTAACACTTGTTGCAGCATCCCCAGCACCAACAGCAGCAGGCGCACCAGCAGCAGGAGCAGCCGCAGAAGCAGAAGAAGCAGCACTAAAGCCCATGCCAGAAGCACCAGCTTGCTCAGAGTACATCAGAACAGGAGCAGCAAGCAGCTCAGCATCTGCCCGTTCCCCGTGCCCGAGATTGCAGAGCACGAGAGCAGCATTGGGGGCATCTCCCGCCTCCCAGAAGGCCTCTGCTGCTGCCACGAGTGCTGCTCGTGCTGCTGCAATGGTGGCGTGCGGGGTAGTGGGAGGTGGAGGGGGAGAGGAGGCAGAGGAAGAGGAGGAGGAAGAGGAGGGAGAAGAGGAGGAATGGGAGTTGAGAAGCCCCATCGGCCTCGCTCGTTACAAGCCCATCCGCGTTTCCTCATAACTGCCTGCTTGCTTGTCGTGTCGTGATTTGCCGAGAACGCAGCCGCTGCCCGTGAATAAAACTCGGCTGCTGATTGGTAGTTGGCGTTTGGTTCGAGGACAAACGGGCGGCCAAAACAACGTGTTTTCCAGCTGTTTGCAGAGGAGGCAGGGGGATGGGCTGATGGTGCTGATGGTGCTGATGGTGCTGATGGTGCTGATGGTGCTGATGGTGCTGATGGTGCTGATCCTGCTGGTGCTGATGCTGACGATGATGGTGCTGATGGGGAAGGATGTGGCACGTTACCATTGTCCCGTCGTGCTCGTTCATTCAAACAGCTACAGCCGCCCCTCCCACACACGCTACAAATAGTATGTGCTACAGCTGCTACTGCTTCTGCTGCCCCTGCTGCTGCCCTTGCTGCCTCCCCAGCCGCTACCCCTCCGCCTATTGCCCCGTGACCACCACCCTCCCTCTGCCTCCTCTTCTTCCTCACCCGTCGCACCTCCCTCGCCACCTCCTCTTCTATCCTCAGCTCTGCACTCCCAGACGCCTCTCCCTCTGCAGCCACTGCTGCAGCCCGTGCATCCACACTACTTTCTTCCCTTCTCCCCTCGCCCACCCTCGCCCCTTGCTTCGAATCACTGAGCCTCGGCGCTTGCTCCGGTTCCGACCCCACCCCGACCCTAGTCTCTAGATCCACATATAAATCTCCTACCAGCTCCCAGAGCTCGCCCCAAAAGCTCCTCCCACTCACACGCCTGCACAACCACATGCTACCCTCCCACCCTGCAGAGTTTGCAGACTCACCCCCTCCTACCAACACCCCTCCTGCTGCTGCTCCGCTGCTCAACCCCACTGCTTTCGATCCCGCCCCTTTCGCCCCTCCAGATTTAGCCCCTAGCCCCCGCCGTTCGTTCTTGCGAGCTGACTGGCTGGGCTTTGAAGAGTCCTTGAATTTAGCCCCCCCCAGAGCTTTTGTGACTGTATGTGATGTGACTGTACGTGAGGCAGTGGAAGCAGGAACCACAGGAGCGTCAGATGTGGAACAACCAGAATCGGACAGCCTCAGCCTGTCTTCCACCCTCATCTCCTTTACAGCCTGACTCGCTACATGTAAAGCATTTCCTCCTTCCGCCCCTCCTTCCCCCTTCTTCTGCTTCCGATCCCTCCCTTTCGCTTTCTTTTTCCCACCTCTCGCCCCTCTCGCCTCTTGCACCCCCCTCTCCGTTCTCTCCCCTTCCTGCTCGCCGCCACCAGTCTTCATTCCATTCCCCTCACCTCCAACCCCCCATCCCTCCAATCCCTGAAACCTACCCTCCTCCCCTTCATCCCGCCTCCCATCCTCTCCCTCTCCTCCCACTCCTCCCTCTCCCCCCTCCTCCCCTTCCCCTTCCAAGCCTAGATCCTCCAAGTCCCACGGCCAACCCCCCACAACCACACATGCCAGCTCAGCCGCTCTTAAAGCCCGCCCCACCTGCCCATCCCCTTTATAAGCTTCTGCTAGGCCCAGATATGCCTCTCCTAGGAGCGCTATCAGCTTGCAGATACGCCGATCGGTAACCGCAGTGGTACTGCTGGTGACCGCACTGCCAGTGGTAATCGCATCACCACAAGTAACACCTGCAGCAGCAGCAGCAGCAGAGCCGGCAGAGGCAGCAGAAGCAGCGCCAACACTGCTACAGGTACTACCCAGAGAGCTACAAGAATGTGCATCTTCATCCCCCTCCCTGCTTTCCTCCTCCCCCCACTCCTGCCCTCTCTTCCCCGTTACCCCCACCTCCTCCTCCATCTTCCCCCTCCGCTGCCCTCCCTTTCCCTTCACCCCCTTCCGCCCCTTCCCCCTGCTCCTCCTCCTCTCCTCGTCAACCACTCCAAACGCCCTCCCATCCCCGCAAACCCCACCAAACCCCTGAGAAAGGCAGCAGGATTCCCCACACAGGCACATACCAGAAGCAGAGTAGGCCCTCAGGCTGTGGATTAAAGATAGAGGGGGGTTCATTAGGCTCTCCTGGGTGTGAGTCAGCAGGTGCCGCTGCCACCTCAGCGCGCCGATTGCTTGTGTGGCGTGCCAGACGGATGCCAGCCAGACCGCTACTGCGCTCTCTGCGACACCAACGGCAGGAGGGGAACAGGTAGGCAGTGGTGCTTGTGATTTTGGTGCTGCTTTTGCCTCTACTGCTGCTTCTGACCCTACAGTTTCTTCTGGCCCTGCTGCTGCTTCTGTTCCTGCTGCTTTTGCCTCTGCTGCTGCTTCTGCCCCTGTTCCTGTGTGTGTTATGGCACTCTCTGCGTCTCCCACTGAAGAGGGCAGAGGGAGAAAAATTGGGGATCTTGGTACCGCTGCTGTTGCTGCGGCTTCTGGTTTGGTTGCGGCTGCTGCTACGTGCGGTTCTGATGCTGCTGCTGCTTCTTCTTGTTCTGCCTCAGCTGCTGCTCCTGGCTCAGCTGCTGTCACAACCTTTGATTCCTGTGCAACTGATTCATTTGCTTCAATTGCCCCTGGCTCCTGTGCTACAGCTGCCCCTGACCCATGCGTTGCTGGCGGGCTGATTGTGAGCTGGTGGTTCTTGGGTGAAACGGGAATCACAGCCAAGCGCTGATTGGCTTGAGGAATCACAGCCAGCTGTTGATTGTCTTGTGGAACGATAACCAGGTCCTGATTGGCTTGGGGAATTACAGCTAACTGTTGATTGGCTGCGGGAATCACAGCCAAGGGTTGGTCGGCTCTTGGAATGACAGCAAAGTGTGCGTTGCCTGTGGGAACAATGGCCAAATGTTGAGAGCCCAGAGCTGCAGGAGCAGATGCAGCATCAGCAGCAGCAGGATCAGCAGCAGCAGCATCTTTGGGATAAGTGATAGCGAGGCGAGAGGATGGGGAGAGAGCAGAAGAAGATTCGGAGGAAGGGGTGGAGAAGGGTAAAAGATTAGACGGGGGCAGATGGGAGGGTAAGAACGTGACTGGTTGGAGAAAGGGGAGGTGGAGCGAGGAGGGATGGGGGAGCGCCGGTTGGAGAGAGGGATGGAAGAGGGAGGAAGGGGGGATGGGAGGGTGCGGGGGGGCGGTATGGGGAGTTGATGAGAGGAGGAAGGGAGGGTGGGGAAGTCGTGGTTGTGGCAGGAGGGAGGAGTGGAGGTGTGAGGGTTGGAGGAGAGATGGAAGCTCGTTCTGTGGGATCTGCAGGAAGAAGCGCGCCATGTACTCATGCGCTGTTGCTCGAAGGCCCTGGAGGGAAGACGACGGGGGAGGAAACGGGGAAGGGAGAGACGGGGGTTGGGTTGGAAAAAAGATGGAAGCTCGTCCTGACAGATCTGAAGGAAGAATCGAGCCATGTACTCATGCGCTGTTGGAGGAGAGATGGAAGCTCGTCCTGAGGAATTTGCAGGAAGAAACGCGCCATGTACTCATGAGCTGTTGCTCGCAGGCCTTGGAGGGGAAAGTATGAGGCAGGGAGTGGGGATAAAAGACTTGGAAAACGGAGATTAGAAGAAGGAATGGAGGGAGGTAGAGAAACGATGATACGCTGCACCGCCCGCTCATACGCTGCACCGCCCGCTCATACGCTGCACCACACGCTCATACGCTGCACCCGCACGCTCATACGCTGCACCGCGCGCTCATACGCTGCACCGCGTGCTCATCCGCGGCACCGCCCGCTCATACGCTGCACCGCCCGCTCATACGCTGCATTGCACGCTCATACGCTGCACCGCCCGCTCATACGCTGCACCGCCCGCTCATACGCTGCACCACACGCTCATACGCTGCACCCGCACGCTCATACGCTGCACCGCGCGCTCATACGCTGCACCGCGCGCTCATCCGCGGCACCGCCCGCTCATACGCTGCACCGCCCGCTCATACGCTGCATTGCACGCTCATACGCTGCACCGCCCGCTCATACGCTGCACCGCATGCTCATACACTGCACCGCCCGCTCATACGCTGCACCGCACGCTCATACGCTGCACCGCACGCACATACGCTGCACCGCCCGCTCATACGCTGCACCGCCCGCTCATACGCTGCGTCGCCGGCTCATACGCTGCACCGCCCGCTCATACGCTGCACCGCCCGCTCATACGCTGCACCGCACGCTCATACGCTGAACCGCCCGCCCATACGCTGCACCGCCCGCTCATACGCTGCACCGCACGCTCATACGCTGCACCGCCCGCTCATACGCTGCACCGCATGCTCATACGCTGCACCGCCCGCTCATACGCTGCACCGCACGCTCACACGCTGCACCGCACGCACATACGCTGCACCGCCCGCTCATACGCTGCACCGCCCGCTCATACGCTGCGTCGCCGGCTCATACGCTGCACTGCCCGCTCATACGCTGCACCGCCCGCTCATACGCTGCACCGCACGCTCATACGCAGAACCGCCCGCCCATACGCTGCACCGCCCGCTCATACGCTGCACCGCACGCTCATACGCTGCACCGCACGCTCATACGCTGCACCGCACGCTCGTACGCTGCACCGCACGCTCATACGCTGCACCGCACGCTCATACGCTGCACCACACGCGCATGCACTTCACCGCCCGCTCATGCGCTGCACCGCACGCTCACACGCTGCACCGCCCGCTCATACGCTGCACCGCCCTCTCATACGCTGCACCGCACGCTCATACGCTGCACCGCACGCTCATACGCTGCACCGCACGCTCATATGCTGCACCGCCCGCTCATAACGCTGCACCACCCGCTCATACGCTGCACCGCACGCTCATACACTGCACCGCACGCTCATACGCTGCACCGCGCGCTCAAACGCTGCACCGCACGCTCATACGCTGCACCGCCAGCTCATACGCTGCACCGCCCGATCATACGCTGCACCGCCCGCTCATACGCTGCACCGCCCGCTCATACGCTGCACCGCCCGCTCATACGCTGCACCGCGCGCTCATACGCTGCACCGCGCGCTCATACGCTGCACCGCGCGCTCATACGCTGCACCGCACGCTCATACGCTGCACCGCCCGCTCATACGCTGCACCGCCCGCTCATACGCTGCACCGCGCGCTCATACGCTACCACGCACGCTCATACGCTACACCGCACGCTCATACGCTGCACCGCACGCTCATACGCTACACCGCACGCTCATAGGCTGCACCGCACGCTCGTAAGCTGCACCGTACGTTCGTTCGCTGCACCGCACGCTCGTACGCTGCACCGCCCGCTCATACGCTGCACCGCCCGCTCATACACTGCACCGCCCGCTCATACGCTGCACCGCACGTTCAGACGCTGCACCGCCCGCTCATACGCTGCACCGCCCGCTCATACGCTGCACCGCCCGCTCATACGCTGCACCGCACGCTCATACGCTGCACCGCACGCTCATACGCTGCACCGCCCGCTCATACGCTGCACCGCCCGCTCATACGCTGCACCGCACGCTCATACGCTGCACCGCCCGCTCATACGCTGCACCGCCCGCTCATACCCTGCACCGCCCGCTCACACGCTGCACCGCCCGCTCACACGCTGCACCAACCGCTCACACGCTGCACCGCCCGCTCACACGCTGCACCGCCGGCTCATACGCTGCACCGCCCGCTCATACGCTGCACCGCACGCTCATACCCTGCACCACTCGCTCACACGCTGCACCGCCTGCTCACACGCTGCACCGCCCGCTCATACGCTGCACCGCCCGCTCATACGCTGCACCGCCGGCTCATACGCTGAACCGCCCGCTCATACGCTGCACCGCCCGCTCATACGCTGCACCGCATGCTCATACGCTGCACCGCCCGCTCATACGCTGCACCCCACGCTCACACGCTGCACCGTACGCACATACGCTGCACCGCCCGCTCATACGCTGCACCGCCCGCTCATACGCTGCGTCGCCGGCTCATACGCTGCACGTTCGTTCGCTGCACCGCACGCTCGTACGCTGCACCGCCCGCTCATACGCTGCACCGCCCGCTCATACACTGCACCGCCCGCTCATACGCTGCACCGCACGTTCAGACGCTGCACCGCCCGCTCATACGCTGCACCGCCCGCTCATACGCTGCACCGCCCGCTCATACGCTGCACCGCACGCTCATACGCTGCACTGCACGCTCATACGTTGCACCGCACGCTCATACGCTGCACCGCCCGCTCATACGCTGCACCGCCCGCTCATACGCTGCACCGCACGCTCATACGCTGCACCGCCCGCTCATACGCTGCACCGCCCGCTCATACCCTGCACCGCCCGCTCACACGCTGCACCGCCCGCTCACACGCTGCACCAACCGCTCACACGCTGCACCGCCCGCTCACACGCTGCACCGCCGGCTCATACGCTGCACCGCCCGCTCATACGCTGCACCGCACGCTCATACCCTGCACCGCCCGCTCACACGCTGCACCGCCCACTCACACGCTGCACCGCCCGCTCATACGCTGCACCGCCCGCTCATACGCTGCACCGCCGGCTCATACGCTGAACCGCCCGCTCATACGCTGCACCGCCCGCTCATACGCTGCACCGCCCGCTCACACGCTGCACCGCCCGCTCATACGCTGCACCGCCCGCTCATACGCTGCACCGCACGCTCATACGCTGCACCGCCCGCTCACACGCTGCACTGCACGCTCACACGCTACACCGCCCGCTCACACGCTGCACCGCCCGCTCACACACTGCACCGCCCGCTCATACGCTGCACCGCCCGCTCATACGCTGCACCGCACGCTCATACGCTGCACCGCCCGCTCACACGCTGCACCGCCCGCTCACACGCTGCACCACCCGCTCACACGCTGCACCGCACGCTCACACGCTGCACCGCCCGCTCACACGCTGCACCACCCGCTCATACGCTGCACCGCACGCTCACACGCTGCACCGCACACTCACACGCTGCACCGCCCGCTCATAATCTGCACCGCCCGCTCACACGCTGCACCGCACGCTCACACGCTGCACCGTGAAAGAAACTATGAGCTATAGGAAGTTGAGGAAGAATTGTTAACATTAGCTCAAAAGAGCACAAGGCTATACAAGGAAGAGAAGGTTGGAGAAGAAGACCAAACCTAGCACATAAGACACCAAGACCAAGTAGGCTAGTGGGAGGAAGGACCATCCAACCAACCCTAGTGGGATGGTGGCCAACCAACCAAAGTTGGTTGCCCCACTTGGCCAACAAGGTTGGAGCCAAGTCTAAGCTAGGATATTTGGGTTCACCCCAATTAGGGTGTCTACCCGCAGTACACCCAAAACTAGAGCCTGAACCAACCCAACTGTACACCACTCTTGGTGTACAGTCACAAGTGTTCGCATGCTACAATATATAGATTCTAACACACCGCACACTCACACGCTGCACCGCCCGCTCATACGCTGCACCGCCCGCTCATACGCTGCACCGCACGCTCATACGCTGCACCGCCAGCTCATACGCTGCACCACCAGCTCATACGCTGCACCGCCCGCTCATACGCTACACCGCCCGCTCATACGCTGCACCGCCCGCTCATACGCTGCACCGCCCGCTCATACGCTGCACCGCCCGCTCATACGCTGCACCGCACGCTCATACGCTGCACCGCACGCTCATACGCTGCACCGCACGCACATACGCTGCACCGCCCGCTCATACGCTGCACCGCCCGCTCATACGCTGCACCGCACGCACATACGCTGCACCGCAAGCACATACGCTGCACCCCACGCGCATGCACTTCACCGCCCGCTCATGCGCTGCACCGCACGCTCACAAGCTGCACCGCCCGCTCACACGCTGCACCGCCCGCTCATACGCTGCACCGCCCGCTCATACGCTGCACCGCACGCTCATACGCTGCACCGCACGCTCATACGCTGCACCGCACGCTCATACGCTGCACCGCCCGCTCAAAACGCTGCACCACCCGCTCATACGCTGCACCGCGCGCTCATACACTGCACAGCGCGCTCATACGCTGCACCGCCCGCTCAAAAGCTGAACCGCACGCTCATACGCTGCACTGCCCGCTCATACGCTGCACTGCACGCTCATACGCTGCACCGCACGCTCATACGCTGCACCGCACGCTCATACGCTGCACCGCCCGCTCATACGCTGCACCGCCCGCTCACACCCTGCACCGCCCGCTCACACGCTGCATCGCCCGCTCATACACTGCACCGCCCGCTCATACACTGCACCGCACGCTCATACGCTGCACCGCACGCTCATACGCTGCACCGCACGCTCATACGCAGCACCGCCCGCTCATACGCTGCACCGCCCGCTCATACACTGCACCGCCCGCTGATACGCTGCACCGCAAGCACATACACTGCACCGCAAGCACATACGCTGCACCGCACGCGCATGCACTTCACCGCCCGCTCACACGCTGCACCGCACGCTCACACGCTGTACCGCCCGCTCACACGCTGCACCGCCCGCTCATACGCTGCACCGCCCGCTCATACGCTGCACCGCACGCTCATACGCTGCACCGCACGCTCATACGCTGCACCGCCCGCTCATACGCTGCACCACCCGCTCATACGCTGCACCGCACGCTCATACGCTGCACCGCACGCTCATACGCTGCACCGCGAGCTCAAACGCTGCACCGCACGCTCATACGCTGCACCGCACGCTCACACGCTGCACCGCCCGCTCATACGCTGCACCGCCCGCTCATACGCTGCACCGCACGCTCATACGCTGCACCGCCCGCTCATACGCTGCACCGCCCGCTCATACGCTGCACCGCGCGCTCAAACGCTGCACCGCGCGCTCAAACGCTGCACCCCGCGCTCATACGCTGCACCGCACGCTCATACGTTGCACCGCCCGCTCATACGCTGCACCGCCCGCTCATACGCTGCACCGCCCGCTCATACGCTGCACCGCCCGCTCACACGCTGCACCGCACGCTCATACGCTGCACCGCACGCTCACACGCTGCACCGCCCGCTCACACGCTGCACCGCCCGCTCACACGCTGCACCGCCCGCTCATACGCTGCACCGCATGCTCATACGCTGCACCGCCAGCTCATACGCTGCACCGCCAGCTCACACGCTGCACTGCACGCTCACACGCTGCACCGCCCGCTCACACGCTGCACCGCCCGCTCACACACTGCACCGCCGGCTCATACGCTGCACCGCACGCTCATACGCTGCACCGCACGCTCATACGCTGCACCGCCCGCTCATACGCTGCACCGCCCGCTCACACGCTGCACCGCCCGCTCACACGCTGCACCGCACGCTCACACGCTGCACCGCCCGCTCACACGCTGCACCGCCCACTCACACTCTGCACCGCTCGCTCACACTCTGCACCGCCCGCTCACACGCTGCACCGCACGCTCACACGCTGCACCGCACGCTCACACGCTGCACCGCACACTCACACGCTGCACCGCCCGCTCATACGCTGCACCGCCCGCTCATACGCTGCACCGCCCGCTCATACGCTGCACCGCCCGCTCATACGCTGCACCGCCCGCTCATACGCTGCACCGCCCGCTCATACGCTGCACCGCCCGCTCATACGCTGCACCGCACGCTCATACGCTGCACCACACGCTCATACGCTGCACCGCCCGCTTATACGCTGCACCGCCCGCTCATACGCTGCACCGCCCGCTCATACGCTGCACCGCACGCACATACGCTGCACCACAAGCACATACGCTGCACCCCACGCGCATGCACTTCACCGCCCGCTCACAAGCTGCACCGCCCGCTCACAAGCTGCACCGCCCGCTCACACGCTGCACCGCCCGCTCATACGCTGCACCGCACGCTCATACGCTGCACCGCACGCTCATACGCTGCACCACCCGCTCATACGCTGCACCTCGCGCTCATACGCTGCACCGCGCGCTCATACGCTGCACCGCCCGCTCAAACGCTGCACCGCACGCTCATACGCTGCACCGCCCGCTCATACGCTGCACCGCACGCTCATACGCTGCACCGCACGCTCATACGCTGCACCGCACGCTCATACGCTGCACCGCCCGCTCATACGCTGCACCGCCCGCTCACACCCTGCACCGCCCGCTCACACGCTGCATCGCCCGCTCATACACTGCACCGCCCGCTCATACACTGCACCGCACGCTCATACGCTGCACCGCACGCTCATACGCTGCACCGCACGCTCATACGCAGCACCGCCCGCTCATACGCTGCACCGCCCGCTCATACACTGCACCGCCCGCTGATACGCTGCACCGCAAGCACATACACTGCACCGCAAGCACATACGCTGCACCGCACGCTCATACGCAGCACCGCCCGCTCATACGCTGCACCGCCCGCTCATACACTGCACCGCCCGCTGATACGCTGCACCGCAAGCACATACACTGCACCGCACGCTCATACGCTGCACCGCACGCTCATACGCTGCACCGCACGCTCATACGCTGCACCGCCCGCTCATACGCTGCACCACCCGCTCATACGCTGCACCGCACGCTCATACGCTGCACCGCACGCTCATACGCTGCACCGCGAGCTCAAACGCTGCACCGCACGCTCATACGCTGCACCGCACGCTCACACGCTGCACCGCCCGCTCATACGCTGCACCGCCCGCTCATACGCTGCACCGCACGCTCATACGCTGCACCGCCCGCTCATACGCTGCACCGCCCGCTCATACGCTGCACCGCGCGCTCAAACGCTGCACCGCGCGCTCAAACGCTGCACCCCGCGCTCATACGCTGCACCGCACGCTCATACGTTGCACCGCCCGCTCATACGCTGCACCGCCCGCTCATACGCTGCACCGCCCGCTCATACGCTGCACCGCCCGCTCACACGCTGCACCGCACGCTCATACGCTGCACCGCACGCTCACACGCTGCACCGCCCGCTCACACGCTGCACCGCCCGCTCACACGCTGCACCGCCCGCTCATACGCTGCACCGCATGCTCATACGCTGCACCGCCAGCTCATACGCTGCACCGCCAGCTCACACGCTGCACTGCACGCTCACACGCTGCACCGCCCGCTCACACGCTGCACCGCCCGCTCACACACTGCACCGCCGGCTCATACGCTGCACCGCACGCTCATACGCTGCACCGCACGCTCATACGCTGCACCGCCCGCTCATACGCTGCACCGCCCGCTCACACGCTGCACCGCCCGCTCACACGCTGCACCGCACGCTCACACGCTGCACCGCCCGCTCACACGCTGCACCGCCCACTCACACTCTGCACCGCTCGCTCACACTCTGCACCGCCCGCTCACACGCTGCACCGCACGCTCACACGCTGCACCGCACGCTCACACGCTGCACCGCACACTCACACGCTGCACCGCCCGCTCATACGCTGCACCGCCCGCTCATACGCTGCACCGCCCGCTCATACGCTGCACCGCCCGCTCATACGCTGCACCGCCCGCTCATACGCTGCACCGCCCGCTCATACGCTGCACCGCCCGCTCATACGCTGCACCGCACGCTCATACGCTGCACCACACACTCATACGCTGCACCGCCCGCTTATACGCTGCACCGCCCGCTCATACGCTGCACCGCCCGCTCATACGCTGCACCGCACGCACATACGCTGCACCACAAGCACATACGCTGCACCCCACGCGCATGCACTTCACCGCCCGCTCACAAGCTGCACCGCCCGCTCACAAGCTGCACCGCCCGCTCACACGCTGCACCGCCCGCTCATACGCTGCACCGCACGCTCATACGCTGCACCGCACGCTCATACGCTGCACCACCCGCTCATACGCTGCACCTCGCGCTCATACGCTGCACCGCGCGCTCATACGCTGCACCGCCCGCTCAAACGCTGCACCGCACGCTCATACGCTGCACCGCCCGCTCATACGCTGCACCGCACGCTCATACGCTGCACCGCACGCTCATACGCTGCACCGCACGCTCATACGCTGCACCGCCCGCTCATACGCTGCACCGCCCGCTCACACCCTGCACCGCCCGCTCACACGCTGCATCGCCCGCTCATACACTGCACCGCCCGCTCATACACTGCACCGCACGCTCATACGCTGCACCGCACGCTCATACGCTGCACCGCACGCTCATACGCAGCACCGCCCGCTCATACGCTGCACCGCCCGCTCATACACTGCACCGCCCGCTGATACGCTGCACCGCAAGCACATACACTGCACCGCAAGCACATACGCTGCACCGCACGCTCATACGCAGCACCGCCCGCTCATACGCTGCACCGCCCGCTCATACACTGCACCGCCCGCTGATACGCTGCACCGCAAGCACATACACTGCACCGCACGCGCATGCACTTCACCGCCCGCTCACACGCTGCACCGCCCGCTCACACGCTGCACCGCCCGCTCATACGCTGCACCGCCCGCTCATACGCTGCACCGCACGCTCATACGCTGCACCGCACGCTCATACACTGCACCGCCCGCTCATACGCTGCACCGCCCGCTCATACGCTGCACCACACGCTCATACGCTGCACCGCACGCTCATACGCTGCACCGCGCGCTCATACGCTGCACCGCGCGCTCAAACGCTGCACCGCGCGCTCATACGCTGCACCGCACGCTCATACGCTGCACCGCACGCTCACACGCTGCACCGCCCGCTCATACGCTGCACCGCCCGCTCATACGCTGCACCGCACGCTCATACGCTGCACCGCCCGCTCATACGCTGCACCGCGCGCTCAAACGCTGCACCGCGCGCTCATACGCTGCACCGCGCGCTCATACGCTGCACCGCACGCTCATACGTTGCACCGCACGCTCATACGCTGCACCGCCCACTCATACGCTGCACCGCCCGCTCATACCCTGCACCGCCCGCTCACACGCTGCACCGCCCGCTCAGACGCTGCACCGCACGCTCACACGCTGCACCGCACGCTCACACGCTGCACCGCCCGCTCACACGCTGCACCGCACGCTCATACGCTGCACCGCCCGCTCATACGCTGCACCGCCCGCTCACACGCTGCACCGCCCGCTCACACGCTGCACCGCCCGCTCACACGCTGCACCGCCCGCTCACACGCTGCACCGCCCGCTCATACGCTGCACCGCCGGCTCATACGCTGCACCGCCCGCTCATACGCTGCACCGCCCGCTCATACGCTGCACCGCCCGCTCATACTCTGCACCGCACGCTCACACGCTGCACCGCCCGCTCACACGCTGCACCGCCCGCTCATACGCTGCACCGCACGCTCATACGCTGCACCGCACGCTCATACGCTGCACCGCCAGCTCACACGCTGCACTGCACGCTCACACGCTGCACTGCACGCTCACACGCTGCACCGCCCGCTCACACGCTGCACCGCCCGCTCACACGCTGCACCGCCGGCTCATACGCTGCACCGCACGCTCATACGCTGCACCGCACGCTCATACGCTGCACCGCCCGCTCATACGCTGCACCGCCCGCTCACACGCTGCACCGCCCACTCACACGCTGCACCGCCCGCTCACACGCTGCACCGCACGCTCACACGCTGCACCGCACGCTCATACGCTGCACCGCACGCTCATACGCTGCACCGCCCGCTCATACGCTGCACCGCACGCTCACACTCTGCACCGCACGCTCACACGCTGCACCGCCCGCTCACACGCTGCACCGCCCGCTCATACGCTGCACCGCACGCTCATACGCTGCACCGCACGCTCATACGCTGCACCGCCAGCTCATACGCTGCACCGCCCGCTCATACGCTGCACCGCCCGCTCATACGCTGCACCGCCCGCTCATACGCTGCACCGCACGCTCATACGCTGCACCGCACGCTCATACGCTGCACCGCACGCTCATACGCTGCACCGCCCGCTCATACGCTGCACCGCCCGCTCATACGCTGCACCGCAAGCACATACGCTGCACCGCAAGCACATACGCTGCACCACACGCGCATACGCTGCACCGCCCGCGCATGCACTTCACCGCCCGCTCATGCGCTTCACCGCCCGCTCACACGCTGCACCGCCCGCTCACACGCTGCACCGCCCGCTCATACGCTGCACCGCCCGCTCATACGCTGCATCGCCCGCTCATACGCTGCACCGCCCGCTCATACGCTGCACCGCCCGCTCATACGCTGCACCGCACCCTCATACGCTGCACCGCACGCTCATACGCTGCACCGCCCGCGCATACGCTGCACCGCACGCTCATACGCTGCACCGCCCGCTCATATGCTGCACCGCACGCTCAAACGCTGCACCCCACGCTCATACGCTGCACCGCACGCACATACGCTGCACCGCACGCTCATACGCTGCACCGCACGCTCACACGCTGCACCGCCCGCTCACACGCTGCACCGCACCCTCATACGCTGCACCGCACGCTCATACGCTGCACCGCCCGCTCATACGCTGCACCGCCCGCTCATACGCTGCACCGCACCCTCATACGCTGCACCGCCCGCTCACACGCTGCACCGCACGCTCACACGCTGCACCGCCCGCTCATACGCTGCACCGCACCCTCATACGCTGCACCGCACGCTCATACGCTGCACCGAACTCTCGTACGCTGCACCGCCCGCTCGTACGCTGCACCGCCCGCTCGTACGCTGCACCGCCCGCTCATACGCTGCACCGCCCGCTCATATGCTGCACCGCACGCTCAAACGCTGCACCCCACGCTCATACGCTGCACCGCCCGCTCATACGCTGCACCGCACCCTCATACGCTGCACCGCACGCTCACACTCTGCACCGCACGCTCACACGCTGCACCGCCCGCTCACACGCTGCACCGCCCGCTCACACGCTGCACCGCACCCTCATACGCTGCACCGCACGCTCATACGCTGCACCTCCCGCTCATACGCTGCACCGCCCGCTCATACGCTGCACCGCACCCTCATACGCTGCACCGCCCGCTCACACGCTGCACCGCACGCTCACACGCTGCACCGCCCGCTCATACGCTGCACCGCACCCTCATACGCTGCACCGCACGCTCATACGCTGCACCGCACTCTCGTACGCTGCACCGCCCGCTCGTACGCTGCACCACCCGCTCGTACGCTGCACCGCCCGCTCATACGCTGCACCGCACGCTCATACGCTGCACCGCACGCTCATACGCTGCACCGCCCGCTCATAGGCTGCACCGCACGCTCATACGCTGCACCGCCCGCTCATAGGCTGCACCGCACGCTCATACCCTGCACCGCCCGCTCATACCCTGCACCGCACGCTCACACGCTGCACCGCCCGCTCATACGCTGCACCGCCCGCTCATACGCTGCACCGCACGCTCATACGCTGCACCGCCCGCTCATACGCTGCACCGCGCGCTCAAACGCTGCACCGCGCGCTCATACGCTGCACCGCGCGCTCATACGCTGCACCGCACGCTCATACGTTGCACCGCACGCTCATACGCTGCACCGCCCACTCATACGCTGCACCGCCCGCTCATACCCTGCACCGCCCGCTCACACGCTGCACCGCCCGCTCAGACGCTGCACCGCACGCTCACACGCTGCACCGCACGCTCACACGCTGCACCGCCCGCTCACACGCTGCACCGCACGCTCATACGCTGCACCGCCCGCTCATACGCTGCACCGCCCGCTCACACGCTGCACCGCCCGCTCACACGCTGCACCGCCCGCTCACACGCTGCACCGCCCGCTCATAAGCTGCACCGCCCGCTCATACGCTGCACCGCCGGCTCATACGCTGCACCGCCCGCTCATACGCTGCACCGCCCGCTCATACGCTGCACCGCCCGCTCATACTCTGCACCGCACGCTCACACGCTGCACCGCCCGCTCACACGCTGCACCGCCCGCTCATACGCTGCACCGCACGCTCATACGCTGCACCGCACGCTCATACGCTGCACCGCCAGCTCACACGCTGCACTGCACGCTCACACGCTGCACTGCACGCTCACACGCTGCACCGCCCGCTCACACGCTGCACCGCCCGCTCACACGCTGCACCGCCGGCTCATACGCTGCACCGCACGCTCATACGCTGCACCGCACGCTCATACGCTGCACCGCCCGCTCATACGCTGCACCGCCCGCTCACACGCTGCACCGCCCGCTCACACGCTGCACCGCCCGCTCACACGCTGCACCGCACGCTCACACGCTGCACCGCACGCTCATATGCTGCACCGCACGCTCATACGCTGCACCGCCCGCTCATACACTGCACCGCACGCTCACACTCTGCACCGCACGCTCACACGCTGCACCGCCCGCTCACACGCTGCACCGCCCGCTCATACGCTGCACCGCACGCTCATACGCTGCACCGCACGCTCATACGCTGCACCGCCAGCTCATACGCTGCACCGCCCGCTCATACGCTGCACCGCCCGCTCATACGCTGCACCGCCAGCTCATACGCTGCACCGCACGCTCATACGCTGCACCGCACGCTCATACGCTGCACCGCACGCTCATACGCTGCACCGCCCGCTCATACGCTGCACCGCCCGCTCATACGCTGCACCGCAAGCACATACGCTGCACCGCAAGCACATACGCTGCACCACACGCGCATACGCTGCACCGCCCGCGCATGCACTTCACCGCCCGCTCATGCGCTTCACCGCCCGCTCACACGCTGCACCGCCCGCTCACACGCTGCACCGCCCGCTCATACGCTGCACCGCCCGCTCATACGCTGCATCGCCCGCTCATACGCTGCACCGCCCGCTCATACGCTGCACCGCCCGCTCATACGCTGCACCGCACCCTCATACGCTGCACCGCACGCTCATACGCTGCACCGCCCGCGCATACGCTGCACCGCACGCTCATACGCTGCACCGCCCGCTCATATGCTGCACCGCACGCTCAAACGCTGCACCCCACGCTCATACGCTGCACCGCCCGCTCATACGCTGCACCGCACCCTCATACGCTGCACCGCACGCACATACGCTGCACCGCACGCTCATACGCTGCACCGCACGCTCACACGCTGCACCGCCCGCTCACACGCTGCACCGCACCCTCATACGCTGCACCGCACGCTCATACGCTGCACCGCCCGCTCATACGCTGCACCGCCCGCTCATACGCTGCACCGCACCCTCATACGCTGCACCGCCCGCTCACACGCTGCACCGCACGCTCACACGCTGCACCGCCCGCTCATACGCTGCACCGCACCCTCATACGCTGCACCGCACGCTCATACGCTGCACCGCACTCTCGTACGCTGCACCGCCCGCTCGTACGCTGCACCGCCCGCTCGTACGCTGCACCGCCCGCTCATACGCTGCACCGCCCGCTCTTATGCTGCACCGCACGCTCAAACGCTGCACCCCACGCTCATACGCTGCACCGCCCGCTCATACGCTGCACCGCACCCTCATACGCTGCACCGCACGCACATACGCTGCACCGCACGCTCATACGCTGCACCGCACGCTCACACGCTGCACCGCCCGCTCACACGCTGCACCGCACGCTCACACGCTGCACCGCACGCTCATACGCTGCACCTCCCGCTCACACGCTGCACCGCCCGCTCATACGCTGCACCGCACCCTCATACGCTGCACCGCCCGCTCACACGCTGCACCGCACGCTCACACGCTGCACCGCCCGCTCATACGCTGCACCGCACCCTCACACGCTGCACCGCCCGCTCATACGCTGCACCGCACCCTCGTACGCTGCACCGCACGCTCGTACGCTGCACCGCACTCTCGTACGCTGCACCGCCCGCTCATACGCTGCACCGCACGCTCATACGCTGCACCGCACGCTCATACGCTGCACCGCACGCTCATACGCTGCACCGCCCGCTCATAGGCTGCACCGCCCGCTCATACGCTGCACCGCACGCTCATAGGCTGCACCGCCCGCTCATACGCTGCACCGCCCGCTCATACCCTGCACCGCCCGCTCATACCCTGCACCGCCCGCTCATACCCTGCACCGCCCGCTCACACGCTGCACCGCCCGCTCACACGCTGCACCGCCCGCTCACACGCTGCACCGCCCGCTCATACGCTGCACCGCACGCTCATACGCTGCACCGCCCGCTCACACGCTGCACCGCACGCTCACACGCTGCACCGCCCGCTCACACGCTGCACCGCCCGCTCACACGCTGCACCGCCCTCTCATACGCTGCACCGCCAGCTCATACGCTGCACCGCCCGCTCATACGCTGCACCGCCAGCTCATACGCTGCACCGCCCGCTCACACGCTGCACCGCACGCTCATACGCTGCACCGCCCGCTCACACGCTGCACCGCACGCTCATACGCTGCACCGCCCGCTCATACGCTGCATCGCCCGCTCATACGCTGCACCGCACGCTCATACGCTGCACCGCACGCTCATACGCTGCACCGCACGCTCATACGCTGCACCGCCCGCTCATACGCTGCACCGCCCGCTGATACGCTGCACCGCAAGCACATACACTGCACCGCCCGCACATACGCTGCACCACACGCACATGCACTTCACCGCCCGCTCATACGCTGCACCGCACGCTCACACGCTGCACCGCCCGCTCACACGCTGCACCGCCCACTCACACGCTGCACCGCCGGCTCATACGCTGCACCGCACGCTCATACGCTGCACCGCCCGCTCATACGCTGCACCGCACGCTCACACTCTGCACCGCACGCTCACACGCTGCACCGCCCGCTCACACGCTGCACCGCACGCTCATACGCTGCACCGCCCGCTCATACGCTGCACCACCCGCTCATACGCTGCACCGCACGCTCATACGCTGCACCGCGCGCTCAAACGCTGCACCGCGCGCTCAAACGCTGCACTGCCAGCTCATACGCTGCACCGCCAGCTCATACGCTGCACTGCCCGCTCATACGCTGCACCGCCCGCTCACACGCTGCACCGCACGCTCACACGCTGCACCGCACCCTCATACGCTGCACCGCACTCATACGCTGCACCGCCCGCTCGTACGCTGCACCGCCCGCTCGTACGCTGCACCGCCCGCTCGTACGCTGCACCGCCCGCTCGTACGCTGCACCGCCCGCTCGTACGCTGCACCGCCCGCTCGTACGCTGCACCGCACGCTCACACGCTGCACCGCCCGCTCACACGCTGCACCGCCCGCTCACACGCTGCACCGCCCGCTCACACGCTGCACCGCCCGCTCACACGCTGCACCGCCCGCTCATACGCTGCACCGCCCGCTCATACGCTGCACCGCCCGCTCATACGCTGCACCGCCCGCTCATACGCTGCACCGCCCGCTCATACGCTGCACCGCCCGCTCATACGCTGCACCGCCTGCTCATACGCTGCACCGCACGCTCATACGCTGCACCGCACGCTCACACGCTGCACCGCCCGCTCACACGCTGCACCGCCCGCTCATACGCTGCACCGCACCCTCATACGCTGCACCGCACGCTCATACGCTGCACCGCACCCTCACACGCTGCACCGCACCCTCACATGCTGCACCGCCCCCTCACACGCTGCACCGCCCGCTCGTACGCTGCACCGCCCCCTCATACGCTGCACCGCACCCTCGTACACTGCACCGCACGCTCGTACGCTGCACCGCCCGCTCGTACGCTGCACCGCCCGCTCGTACGCTGCACCCCACGCTCATACGCTGCACCGCCCGCTCATACGCTGCACCGCACCCTCATACGCTGCACCGCACGCACATACGCTGCACCGCACGCTCATACGCTGCACCGCACGCTCACACGCTGCACCGCCCGCTCACACGCTGCACCGCACCCTCATACGCTGCACCGCACGCTCATACGCTGCACCGCACGCTCATACGCTGCACCGCCCGCTCATACGCTGCACCGCCCGCTCATACGCTTCACCGCCCGCTCACACGCTGCACCGCACGCTCACACGCTGCACCGCCCGCTCATACGCTGCACCGCACCCTCATACGCTGCACCGCACGCTCATACGCTGCACCGCCCGCTCATACGCTGCACCGCAAGCACATACGCTGCACCACACGCGCATACGCTGCACCACACGCGCATGCACTTCACCGCCCGCTCACACGCTGCACCGCCCGCTCACACGCTGCACCGCCCGCTCACACGCTGCACTGCCCGCTCATACGCTGCATCGCCCGCTCATACGCTGCACCCCACGCTCATACGCTGCACCGCCCGCTCATACGCTGCACCGCCCGCTCATACGCTGCACCGCCGGCTCATACGCTGCACCGCCCGCTCATACGCTGCACCGCACGCTCATACCCTGCACCGCCCGCTCATACCCTGCACCGCACGCTCACACGCTGCACCGCCCGCTCACACGCTGCACCGCCCGCTCACACGCTGCGCCGCCCGCTCACACGCTGCACCGCCCGCTCACACGCTGCACCGCACGCTCATACGCTGCACCGCCCGCTCACACGCTGCACCGCACGCTCACACGCTGCACCGCCCGCTCACACGCTGCACCGCCCGCTCATACGCTGCACCGCCCTCTCATACGCTGCACCGCCCGTGTCGCGATACATATTTTATATGTATGTTTATAACTGCCTGTAGCATCAGCTTAGTGTAGTTATGCCTTCTTACATTGGTGGTGCACCTTCTCTTTGTTCCTTTGCTATATGTTCTTGCAAACCTATGGTGAAATCATTCCATTCTCGACATCCTCCCTTGGCTTGACACTCTCGTCACCCGCTTGGCCTAGGCTTCTAAGCCTAGGCCCTAGTTAAACCCGTTCCTAGCTAAGTTCGTCTCGTGACATGGTATCGAGCTACTAAGATCCTACTCCTAGGTCAATGGGCCCACCACCAGCTGTCGCTATGACGCGCCCCGTCGATCAGGTCGTTGCGCAGCCCGTTACGCGCATCGCTGGCCCCACCCGTCGCTCGCCCGTCGCCCCAACGGCTCGACGACCCACTGCTGCTGCGCTAGCGGCGACGAGCTGCGCGACGGCGCTCGTCACGCCCCACCGTTTCGGCCCCCCCAGTTCACCCGCGGACCCGCGAGCAAGAGAGACAGCGGATCCGCGGACCTGTCAGCAACTGAGCCTGCGGACCCGCGAACCCGATTTCAGCAAGCCCTCCGACGGACCCGCCGTCGAACCCGCCAACGAGAGCGCCAGCAAGCCCGCCTGCGACCCACCACCCGCACCCGCGCGACCCGTTCCTGCCCCGCCTGCATCTGCCGCGCCCGCTACTGCCGTTTCGTCACATTCCCACCGCCCCACCCGGAAACCGCTGCCCCCACCTGTACCCCCCGCCTCACCCGTACCCGCCGTCCCACCTGTAAGCCGCCGCCTCACCCGTACCCGCTGCCCCACCTGTAAACAGCCGCCAGCACCAGCCCCGACGCCAGTCACCAGCGCCGTCACGCCAGCACTACCGCCAGCACCAGCGCCATCCGCCAGCGTCACCACCAGCACCACCGCCCGTCCCTTCCCCCTCCCCTGTCGCCCTCCCTTCCGTGACTGCGGATGCGGTGGGGGAGGTGGCGTGGAGGGGATTGCCACCGTGGCCTCCCTGCGCTTCCCCACCCGTCCCGCCCCTGCGCGTTTGCAGCGGAAATCCCTGTGTGGGGGAGGAAGGGGGGAAGGGGGTGATGGCGGGACGGGGGTGGCGTGGAAATGGTGGCCGCCTTGAGCCACTGCAGCACCACCCTCTGCCCTGCCTCGCTCCTCCTGCGGCTGCTGCTGTGGGGGGGAGGTTGCAGGGACGGGGGGGTGGGGGGGCTGGCTGCCATGTGAAGGACAGTGCAAGGACTACTGTGGGTGGGGCAGGGGTGTGGAGGAAAGAAGGGGGGGGAGGGAGTGCGGTTCGAGGGGCGGCTTGAATGGGGGGTGAGGTTCAAGGAAAGTGGTTGATTGGGGGTGGGGATGTGGGGGTTAGTAAGAGGGGACGCCGCGGCCACCCCCCCACCTCCTCTCCTCATCCCCCACTCACCCCCCCCCCCTCGTAAAAGGGGGTTAGTAAGAGGGGACGCCGCGGCCACCCCCCCACCTCCTCTCCTCATCCCTCACTCACCTCCTTAGTTCTTACCTCCTCTCCTCTCCTCTCTCTCTCTCTCTCGCCTCCTCCTCCTCACTTACCTCTCTGCCGTCTTCCACTGCGCCTGCTACACTCCTTCAGGGGGTGTGACTTCCTCTAGCTATGAGCTGCAGGCAGTTAAGGGGGTGTGTCGCGATACATATTTTATATGTATGTTTATAACTGCCTGTAGCATCAGCTTTAGTGTAGTTATGCCTTCTTACATTGGTGGTGCACCTTCTCTTTGTTCCTTTGCTATATGTTCTTGCACACCTATAGTGAAATCATTCCATTCTCGACATCCTCCCTTGGCTTGACACTCTCGTCACCCGCTTGGCCTAGGCTTCTAAGCCTAGGCCCTAGTTAAACCCGTTCGTAGCTAAGTTCGTCTCGTGACAGCCCGCTCATACGCTGCACCGCCAGCTCATACGCTGCACCGCCAGCTCATACGCTGCACCGCCCGCTCATACGCTGCACCGCCCGCTCATACGCTGCACCGCCCGCTCATACGCTGCATCGCCCGCTCATACGCTGCACCGCACGCTCATACGCTGCACCGCACGCTCATACGCTGCACCGCACGCTCATACGCTGCACCGCCCGCTCATACACTGCACCGCCCGCTGATACGCTGCACCGCAAGCACATACACTGCACCGCAAGCACATACGCTGCACCGCACGCACATACACTGCACCGCAAGCACATACGCTGCACCGCACGCTCACGCGCTGCACCGCCCGCTCACACGCTGCACCGCCCGCTCACACGCTGCACCGCACGCTCATACGCTGCACCGCACGCTCATACGCTGCACCGCCCGCTCACACGCTGCACCGCACGCTCACACGCTGCACCGCACGCTCACACGCTGCACCGCCCGCTCACACGCTGCACCGCACGCTCATACGCTGCACCGCCCGCTCATACGCTGCACCACCCGCTCATACGCTGCACCGCACGCTCATACGCTGCACCGCGCGCTCAAACGCTGCACCGCGCACTCAAACGCTGCACTGCCAGCTCATACGCTGCACCGCACGCTCATACGCTGCACCGCACGCTCGTACGCTGCACCGCACGCTCACACGCTGCACCGCACGCTCGTACGCTGCACCGCCCGCTCGTACGCTGCACCGCCCGCTCGCACGCTGCACCGCCCGCTCGTACGCTGCACCGCCCGCTCGTACGCTGCACCGCCCGCTCGTACGCTGCACCGCCCGCTCGTACGCTGCACCGCCCGCTCGTACGCTGCACCGCCCGCTCGTACGCTGCACCGCACGCTCGTACGCTGCACCGCCCGCTCACACGCTGCACCGCCCGCTCAGACGCTGCACCGCCCGCTCATACGCTGCACCGCCCGCTCATACGCTGCACCGCCCGCTCATACGCTGCACCGCCCGCTCATACGCTGCACCGCCCGCTCATACGCTGCACCGCCCGCTCATACGCTGCACCGCACGCTCATACGCTGCACCGCCCGCTCATACGCTGCACCGCACGCTCACACGCTGCACCGCACGCTCACACGCTGCACCGCCCGCTCATACGCTGCACCGCACCCTTATACGCTGCACCGCACGCTCATACGCTGCACCGCACCCTCATACGCTGCACCGCACCCTCATACGCTGCACCGCACCCTCATACGCTGCACCGCCCGATCACACGCTGCACCGCCCGCTCCTACGCTGCACCGCCCGCTCCTACGCTGCAACACCCGCTCCTACGCTGCACCGCACCCTCATAAGCTGCACCGCACGCTCGTACGCTGCACCGCACGCTCGTACGCTGCACCGCCCGCTCGTACGCTGCACCGCCCGCTCGTACGCTGCACCGCCCGCTCGTACGCTGCACCGCCCGCTCGTACGCTGCACCGCCCGCTCGTACGCTGCACCGCCCGCTCGTACGCTGCACCGCCCGCTCGTACGCTGCACCGCCCGCTCATACGCTGCACCGCCCGCTCGTACGCTGCACCGCACGCTCATACGCTGCACCGCACGCTCATACGCTGCACCGCACGCTCATACGCTGCACCGCCCGCTGATACGCTGCACCCCACGCTCATACGCTGCACCGCCCGCTCATACGCTGCACCGCTGTCACGAGACGAACTTAGCTAGGAACAGGTTTAACTAAGGGCCTAGGCTTAGTAGCCTAGGCCAAGCGGGTGTCGAGGGAGTTGTGCCAAGAGAGAATCGAGAATGTGTGTCTTCACTATAGGTTTGCAAGAACATATAGCAAAGAAACAAAGAGGTGCACCACCACAACAAAGAAACATAACTACACTAAAGCTAAAGCTACAGGCAGTTATAAACATATATAAATATATATCGCGACACACCCTCATACGCTGCACCGCACGCACATACGCTGCACCGCACGCTCATACGCTGCACCGCACGCTCACACGCTGCACCGCCCGCTCACACGCTGCACCGCACCCTCATACGCTGCACTGCACGCTCATACGCTGCACCGCACGCTCATACGCTGCACCGCCCGCTCATACGCTGCACCGCCCGCTCATACGCTGCACCGCCCGCTCACACGCTGCACCGCACGCTCACACGCTGCACCGCCCGCTCACACGCTGCACCGCCCGCTCACACGCTGCACCGCACGCTCATACGCTGCACCGCACGCTCATACACTGCACCGCCCTCTCGTACGCTGCACCGCCCGCTCGTATGCTGCACCGCCCGCTCGTACGCTGCACCGCCCGCTCGTACGCTGCACCGCCCGCTCCAACGCTGCACCGCACGCTCATACGCTGCACCCCACGCTCATACGCTGCACCCCACGCTCATATGCTGCACCGCACGCACATACACTGCACCGCACGCTCATACGCTGCACCGCACGCTCATACGCTGCACCGCACGCTCACACGCTGCACCGCACCCTCACACGCTGCACCGCACCCTCACACGCTGCACCGCACCCTCATACGCTGCATCGCCCGCTCATACGCTGCACCGCCCTCTCATACACTGCACCGCCCGCTCATACGCTGCACCGCCCCCTCACACGCTGCACCGCCCGCTCACACGCTGCACCGCCCGCTCACACGCTGCACCGCCCGCTCATACGCTGCACCGCACCCTCATACGCTGCACCGCCCGCTCATACGCTGCACCGCCCGCTCGTACGCTGCACCGCCCGCTCGTACGCTGCACCGCCCGCTCGTACGCTGCACCGCACGCTCATACGTTGCACCGCCCGCTCATACGTTGCACCGCCCGCTCATACGCTGCACCGCCCGCTCATACGCTGCACCGCCCGCTCATACGCTGCACCGCCCGCTCATACGCTGCACCGCACGCTCATACCCTGCACCGCCCGCTCATACCCTGCACCGCACGCTCACACGCTGCACCGCCCGCTCATACGCTGCACCGCACGCTCATACGCTGCACCGCCCGCTCATACGCTGCACCGCACGCTCACACGCTGCACCGCCCGCTCACACGCTGCACCGCCCGCTCATACGCTGCACCGCCCGCTCATACGCTGCACCGCCCGCTCATACGCTGCACCGCCAGCTCATACGCTGCACCGCCAGCTCATACCCTGCACCGCCCGCTCATACGCTGCAGCGCCCACTCATACGCTGCAGCGCCCGCTCATACGCTGCAGCGCCCGCTCATACGCTGCAGCGCCCGCTGATATGCTGCACCGCCCGCTCATACGCTGCACCGCCCGCTCATACGCTGCACCGCCCGCTCACACGCTGCACCGCACGCTCATACGCTGCACCGCACGCTCACACGCTGCACCGCCCGCTCACACGCTGCACCGCCCGCTCACACGCTGCACCGCACGCTCATACGCTGCACCGCCCGCTCATACGCTGCACCGCACGCTCATACTCTGCACCGCACGCTCACACGCTGCACCGCCCGCTCACACGCTGCACCGCCCGCTCATACGCTGCACCGCCCGCTCATACGCTGCACCGCCCGCTCATACGCTGCACCGCGCGCTCATACGCTGCACCGCCCGCTCATACGCTGCACCGCACGCTCATACGTTGCACCGCACGCTCATACGCTGCACCGCCTGCTCATACGCTGCACCGCCCGCTCATACGCTGCACCGCACGCTCATACGCTGCACCGCCCGCTCATACCCTGCACCGCCCGCTCACACGCTGCACCGCACGCTCACACGCTGCACCGCCCGCTCACACGCTGCACCGCCCGCTCACACGCTGCACCGCCGGCTCATACGCTGCACCGCACGCTCATACGCTGCACCGCCCGCTCATACGCTGCACCGCTCGCTCATACCCTGCACCGCCCGCTCACACGCTGCACCGCCCGCTCACACGCTGCACCGCCCGCTCATACGCTGCACCGCCCGCTCACACGCTGCACCGCCGGCTCATACGCTGCCCCGCACGCTCATACGCTGCACCGCCCGCTCATACGCTGCACCGCCCGCTCATCCTCTGCACCGCACGCTCACACGCTGCACCGCCCGCTCACACGCTGCACCGCCCGCTCATACGCTGCACCGCCCGCTCATACGCTGCACCGCACGCTCATACGCTGCACTGCCAGCTCATACGCTGCACCGCCCGCTCACACGCTGCACTGCACGCTCACACGCTGCACCGCCCGCTCACACGCTGCACCGCCCGCACACACGCTGCACCGCCGGCTCATACGCTGCACCGCACGCTCATACGCTGCACCGCACGCTCATACGCTGCACCGCCCGCTCATACGCTGCACCGCCCGCTCACACGCTGCACCGCACGCTCACACGCTGCACCGCCCGCTCACACGCTGCACCGCCCGCTCATACGCTGCACCGCACGCTCATACGCTGCACCGCACGCTCATACGCTGCACCGCCCGCTCATACGCTCCACCGCACGCTCATACTCTGCACCGCACGCTCACACGCTGCACCGCCCGCTCACACGCTGCACCGCCCGCTCATACGCTGCACCGCCCGCTCATACGCTGCACCGCACGCTCATACGCTGCACCGCCAGCTCATACGCTGCATCGCCCGCTCATACGCTGCACCGCCCGCTCATACGCTGCACCGCCCGCTCACACGCTGCACCGCACGCTCACACGCTGCACCGCCCGCTCACACGCTGCACCGCCCGCTCACACGCTGCACCGCCGGCTCATACGCTGCACCGCACGCTCATACGCTGCACCGCCCGCTCATACGCTGCACCGCACGCTCATACTCTGCACCGCACGCTCACACGCTGCACCGCCCGCTCACACGCTGCACCGCCCGCTCATATGCTGCACCGCCCGCTCATACGCTGCACCGCACGCTCATACGCTGCACCACCAGCTCATACGCTGCACCGCCCGCTCATACGCTGCACCGCCCGCTCATACGCTGCACCGCCCGCTCATTCGCTACACCGCCCGCTCATACGCTGCAGCGCCCGCTGATACGCTGCACCGCAAGCACATACGCTGCACTGCACCGCACGCTCAAACGCTGCACCGCACGCTCGAACGCACATGGGCTGGTGCTCATGGGCTGGTGCTCATGGGCTGGTGCTCATGGGCTGGTGCTCATGGGCTGGTGCTCATGGGCTGGTGCTCATGGGCTATTCCTCTTGTTCTTACCGGGTGATCTTTCTTATGCAGCAGCTGCAGGCAGTACCCAAACAGCTGTGCCGTCCTGTGTGCAGTAGTCCTGCGTAGTACTTTCCAACTCACTGGATGGTCGTTTCCCACTCACCGGGTGGTCTTTCTGGTGCAGCAGCTGCAGGCAGTACCCTAACAGCTGGACCGTCCTGTTTCGATCCCAAGGCACGTGGGAGTCGGAGAGGCGAAGGACCAGGCGGTAGTGCAGCATTGCGAGGGGCAGAGCGAGGTGCGTTGGGGAGCACTAGGGGGAACTAGAGGGAACTAGGGGAATGATGAGTGCTTACCGGGTGGTCTTTCTGGTGCAGCAGCTGCAGGCAGTACCCAAAAAGCTGTGCTTTCCTGTGCCGATTTTGGGATATGTGGGAGTCTGAGAGGTGAAGGGCTAGGCGGTAAAGCAGCATAGCGAGGGGCAGGGAGAGGTGCGCTGCTACAGCCGGATCGAGGGATGACAGAGGGGAATTCAGACCTGCTCGCCCCGCTAGCCCCCCTGCTTGCCCCCTTGCTTGCCCCCCTGCTGCCTCAGCTGCCCCCTCCCTTGCTCGTCCCCCTCTTGCCCCTGCTGCCTCTCCTGCTGTCTCCCCTGATAGTTCTCCCAGTGTTGAAGAGTCTAAGGAGGAAGAAGAGGTTGTGCTGATGTGGCTGGGTGGTGGTGCTGACGTGGAGGGATGGGTGGCGAGGGATGGGGCGAGGCGGAGCGGTGCAGATGGGTTCTGGAGAGGTGGAGTGAGGTCGAATAGCTGTAGCACGTCAGTGCCTGCGTCCTTGCGAAGCTGGATAGGGGGGAGGGAGAACGGAGAGAACGGGAGGGAGAGGGGAGAGGGGAGGTGAGAGGGTGAGACGGGAGAAACAGAGGGGGAAAGGGAATGGGGAGAGGGATTAAAAAGTTGTGGGAGTGAAGTGAAGAAGAGAGGGTAAGGAGGGGTGGAGTGTGGTGAAACAGCTGCAGCAAATCTGCATCAGATGTTAGTGTGTTTTGTTTATGCTTTGTTCGTCTGACAAAACTAGGTTGCATATGCATTTGACCTGCAGGAACCCCAGAATGGCAATCACACGCCCTGCTATGGCAGTCACAGCACGTACCGATAATTCTTTACAACTCACCCCAGGGCTGCGCGCACCTTAGAGGCGAGCACCTTAGAGGCGAGCACCTTAGAGGCGAGCACCTTAGAGGCGAGCACCTTAGAGGCGAGCACCTTAGAGGCGAGCACCTTAGAGGCGAGCACCTTAGAGGCGAGCACCTTAGAGGCGAGCACCTTAGAGGCGAGCACCTTAGAGGCGAGCACCTTAGAGGCGAGCACCTTAGAGGCGAGCACCTTAGAGGCGAGCACCTTAGAGGCGAGCACCTTAGAGGCAACCACCTAAGAGGGCAGGGAGTACTCCTGTGAGTCCATTGCAGCTCTCCTGTGTGCTTCAGGTGTTTGGGACAGCAGAGGAGGATGCACCTTTTTTGGGCTTTAAGCCTGAAAGCCTTTTTTTTCAACAGCTTTAAGCCTGTTTATCCCAAACTCCTGTCGGCAGGAGACAGCTGAGGAGGATGCACTGAGGAGAGACCTCACAATCAACAGCATGTGATCACATCTTATTTGTTTCCCATGTGTTCCCGTTGCTTGCTGTTCGTTCCTGTCGGCAGGAGTTTGGAACAGCAGAGGACGATGGACTGAGGGATCTGACGATCAACAGCAAGTGTCTCCGATTGTTCCGAAATCGTCCCATCTGTTCGTATGTGTTTCCCATTTGTGTTCTCATCACTTCCCTGTTCGTTCCTGTTGGCAGGAGTTTGGGACAGCAGAGGAGGATGCGCTGAGGAGGGACCTGACGATCAATAGCATGTTTTACAACATCACAACAGAGCAAGTGGAGGACCCAACAGGGCGAGGTGAGGGGAGTGGTGAAGTGAGGAGAGTGGTGAGGTGAGGAGAGTGGTGAGGTGAGGACTGAGGGTGAGAAGGTTGTTGAGGCGCCTTGTAGGTGCGCTGAGGAGGGATCTGACGATCAACAGCATGTTTTACAACATCACAACAGAGCAAGTAGAAGACCCAACAGGGCGAGGTGAGGAGAGTGGTGAAGTGAGGAGAGTGGTGAGGTGAGGAGAGTGGTGAGGTGAGGAGAGTGGTGAGGAGAGGAGAGTGGTGAGGTGAGCAGAGTGGTGAGGAGAGGAGAGTGGTGAGGAGAGGAGAGTGGTGAGGAGAGGAGAGTGGTGAGGTGAGGAGAGTGGTGAGGAGAGGAGAGTGGTGAGGTGAGGAGAGTGGTGAGGTGAGGAGAGTGGTGAGGTGAGGAGAGTGGTGAGGTGAGGAGAGTGGTGAGGAGAGGAGAGTGGTGAGGGTGTCATCCGCACCCTCACACTTCCCAAACCCCTCGCCACACACACCCCGCACACTCCCCCCACCCCACCCAGGAATCTCCGACCTGAATGGGGGTGTCATCCGCACGCCTCTCCCGCCCCACCAGACCTTCCTTGACGACCCTCTCCGGGTGCTTCGGGCCGTCAGGTTCGGTGAGTGCTTCGGCCCGTCAGGTTCGGTGAGTGCTTCGGGCCGTCAGGTTCGGTGAGTGCTTTGGCCCGTCAGGTTCGGTGAGTGCTTCGGCCCGTCAGGTTCGGTGAGTGCTTCGGCCCGTCAGGGTTTCCTTTTCCAGTTTAGTTCTTTGTCCCTTTTCTCCCCCCCACCTCCCTTCTCCCTTCCCCCCGCCCCGCCCCTTTTACTCGTTCGTGTTCCAGTTTGTAGCTTTACTGCTCTTCCCAGCTGTATGTTTCCTATACAACCCCCTTTCCCCCTCCCTCCCCCCACCTCCCCTCTCCCTTCCCCCTGCAACTTGTACTCGTTCGTGTTCCAGTTTATGGCTTTACTGCTCTTCTCAGCTGTATGTTCCCCTATACAACCCCCTTTCCCCCTCCCTCCTCCCCTTTTCCATCCTGCCCCCGTGCGGCCCCGCTGTTCCTTTCAGCTGCCCGATTCGGCTTCTCATTGGACGAGGAGTTGCGGGTCGCTGCAGCTTCGGAGGAGGTTCGGGCAGCGTTGGGAAACAAAGTCAGCAAAGAGAGGATTGGGAAAGAGGTACGGGAGAGAGGCACGGAGGATCGGGAAAGTGGTATGGGAAAGATGCATGGGATAGAGGTAAAGGGGAATTCACTGGGTGCATTTGATCAATGCTCAATCCACAGGTACGGACGACAGATTGAAGTGCCCTTCCAACCATGATATGTCTGTCCCTTATCAAATTGCCTTCCTCATCCTTCCGTCCACTGCTTTCCCCCCATCTCGCAGGTTGAGCTGATGCTCAAGTCCCGTGACCCCTATGCAGCAATCTCCCTGGTGGTCGATCTCAGCCTCTTCCCCACCGTCCCTTGCACCATAAGCTGCCCTTTCACACCTGTTTTCCCCTTCCTCCCGTCCCCTTTCCCGCCCATCACAGGTAGAGCTAATGCTCAAGTCCCGTGATCCCTACGCGGCAGTCTCCCTAGTGGTTCATCTCAGCCTCTTCCGCACCGTCTTCATACTGTTATGAGACGTTCCTCTTTCTCTCCCACCTTCTCCCTGTCCCCTGTTTCAACTCACAGGTAGAGCTGATGCTCAAGTCCCGTGATCCCTACGCGGCAATCTCCCTGGTGGTCGACCTCAACCTCTTCCCCACCGTCTTCCCGCTCCCCCACGCGCCCTCGCACACTGCTGATGTTCCTCCCGACGACGAGTTACCCGGGTGAGTGAGTAACGTGGTAACCAGAGGCGTTTAGCTGCTGTAACTCCCGTTGTTTGATTCTTCCCCACCATATTCCCGCTCGCCCACGCTCCCTCGCACACTGCTGATGTTCCTCCTGATGACGAGTTACCGGGTAAGTGCGTAACATGGTAACCATGTAGGTACCTTCGTTTGTGTTGCCTTCTCACTCACCCACGTGCCTCACACACTGCCGACATGCCTCCTGATGACGAGTTACCCGGGTGAGTAACGTGGTAACCAGAGATGATAACACATGGCTTGTGCTTAATCCCCCGTACTCCCTCACGCCCCCCTCTCCCGTTTCTACCCCCCCACCCTTTCCCCCTCTCCTTTTTCTATCCAACCCCCCTCCCCTTCCCCCCTTCCCCCTCGTTTTCAACTTCCCTCCTCCCCATGCGAGTCCTCTTTTTTATTATTTTCTGTAGATGTTCTGAGTCGACTCAAAACGCTCCCCCAAACGCAGCTCACTGAGACATGTCTGAATCTCGCGTAGATGTTCTCCCCCAAACGCTGTCAGTTTTTGAGTCGACTCAAGAACAGGTCTTTTTTATTCTCTGTAAATGTTCTCCCTCAAACGCTATCATTCCACGCGCATGTGTCGTCCGTTGCACTCACTCCCTTTGTGTCTGTGTGTGGTGTATGGGGGGAAGAGAGGGGGGGAGGGGGGGGGTGGGTGTGTGGGTGGGTGGGTGGGTGGGTGTGTGTGTTGTGCGTGCATGGGCATGTGAGGCTGTGCTTACATTACACCCCACCAACATCAGCCTCTGTGAAGCATCGTTTGCAGCCACTTGCACGCGCCTGCACCAGTGGGAGCAACAGCTGCCCCAGGTAACACCCACCGCACTTTCACATAAGGTGTTAGGCACGTGATGTGAGGGACACCCTCAGAGGGGGTGCGGGTATACATCTACTCAACCCACCCACATCAGCCTCTGTAAGGCATCATTCACAGCCACTTGCACGCACTTGCACCACTGGGTGGGAGCACCTGCCCCAGGTAACGCCTGCTCTCACATAGAGGTGGGCGGGCCTACTCTCTGACAGATAGAACCTGCTAAACAGGCTGTAGCTGGAGCAGGTTGTATCTGTCAGAGAGTAGGCCAGCCTACCTGGAACAGGCTCCAGGTACAGCCTGTTTCCAGATACAGCCTGTAGCTCCAGGTTGTAGCTAAGGCCATCTTCCAGATAAACCCTGCTCCAGGTACAGCCTGTTCCCAGATGCAGCCTGCACAGCAGGCACGAGTCACACACTGCACCGTTCTTCTTCTGCTTCGTTCGTGACCCATCTCCTTGCTGTTCTGCATGTGCCATGTGGCAGGCTCTGATTGATCACTCGTCAGACCTGCGAGTGGGTCTGCTGCTGGCTGCGCTGCTGATGCCTCTCAGGCACGCGCACTACCTGGATAGGAAGAAGAAGGAGGTGAGAGAGGGGTGGTGAGGGGTGGAGAGAGGGTGGGGAGAGGTGAAGGGCGGTTCTTTTGTTGTTCTCACTGATGCCTCTCAGGCACGCGCACTACCTGGATAGGAAGAAGAAAGAGGTGAGAGGGTTGGTGAACGGTGGAGAGGGGTGAAGGCGGGGTGGTGAGCGGTTGTGATGAGTGACGAGGGGTGCTGGCGGCGCTGCTGATGCCTCTCAGGCACGCACACTACCTGGATAGGAAGAAGAAGGAGGTGAGAGAGATGGAAAGGGGTGGAGTGGGGTGAAGAGGTGTGCTGGTGGCGCTGCTGATGCCTCCTAGGCACACACTACCTGGACAGGAAGAAAATACAGCACCCTCCAAACCCTGAACCTCCGCATGTCTTGTCTCTCTGCGGGTGGGTGCCGTGCCATTGTGTAGTAATTCGATTTTTGAGTCGTCTCAAAAATCCCATGCACAACACATCGACTTGAACCCTCTCAAGCTCAGGCGACCCTTTCTCTCTCTGCATACTACCAACTCTGAAGCTTGACCCTTAAAGCCTATGTTCCAAACATCTTGTGTCCCTCTCCGTGCATCGATGCAGGTGCCATTCTCCCTGGACTCACTCTAGCTCAAACGAGCCTGTGTCCTTCCACATTCCCACTACCTTAATACCTAAAACCATAAATCCTGAACGTTCGCCTTCCCTCTGCGTATCTTGTATCCCTGCAGGTGCCATTCGCACAACACATCGTCCTGGACTCACTTAAGCTCAAGCGCGCCATTCTCCCCCTGCATTCTTGAATCTCTGTAGTTTAATCCCTAAGCCCTGAACCTTCGCTCTCCCTCTGCGTGTCTTGTCTCGTTGCAGGTGCCCTTCGCACAACACATCGTCCTGGAATTCTCAAGCTCAGACGAGCCTTTCTCCTTCTGCATTCCCTGCCCAAGTCCTTCAGATTCCCTATGCCCCCCATCCCCTCTGCGTGTCTCGTCTCGCTGCAGGTGCCATTCGCACAACACATCGTCCTGGACTCGCTCAAGCTCAAACGAGCCTATGCGGACATGGCAGGTGCCCCCACCCTGTATGCTGATGTGGCATGTGCCGCCACCCTGTATGCTGACGTGGCGTGTCCCCCCACCTGTATGCTGACGTGGCGCATCACCCCACCCTGTACGCTGACGTGGCACGTCCCCCCACCCTGTATTCTGACATTTCCCTTGTCATCAAGTGTTTCCATCCTTCAGTTTCGCTTTGTTGCTTGCTGCTCGTCCCTCCCTTGTCTTCCCGCTTCCCCTTCCTCCCCTCTCTCTGTCTGCCCCCCTTCCTCCTTGCCCCCCTCAGGTGGTGCTGCTGCATGCAGCAGGGGAGGATTTCACTGCCCTAGCGCCCCTGCTGGCCACAGCAGCAGCAGAGGGAGCACAGCGGGACCATGACATTATGCTTATACTTTCGCTGTCTGCCCCCCTTCCTCCTTGCGCCCCTCAGGTGGTGCTGCTGCATGCAGCAGGGGAGGATTTCACTGCCCTAGCGCCCCTGCTGGCCACAGCAGCAACAGAGGGAGCACAGCGGGACCATGACATTATGCTTACACTTTCGCTGTCTGCCCCCCTTCCTCCTTGCCCCCCTCAGGTGGTGCTGCTGCATGCAGCAGCGGAGGACTTCACTGCCCTAGCGCCCCTGCTGACCGCAGCAGGAGAGGGAGGAGCAAGAGGAGGGGGGAACGCAGCAGCAGCAGAGGGAGATGCAGCAGTAGCTGCGAGGGGTGAGGCAGCAGCAACAGCGGCAGCAGCAACAGCGGCAGCAGCAACAGCGGCAGCAGCAGCAGCAGCGGCAGCAGCCAGAACCGGAGGTGCAGCCACAGCACGAGGCCTTACTCTAATCTCACCCCCGCATGATGAGTTTCAAGACAACGCAAGGGTGCTGACAGGTGCGGTTGGTGGGGTGCTGGCAGGTGCAGCGCGGTTGGTGGGTCACTTGCAGGTAATGAGGCACGAGCTCTCACGCTGATCGCACCCCCGCATGAGGAGTTCCAAGACAACGCAAGGCTGCTCACAGGTCCGCTGGGTGCTGGCAGGTGCAGTACGGTTGGTGGGTCACTGGCAGGTGCAGTACGGTTGGTGGGGTGCTGGCAGGTAAGAAGGCTCTTACCCTGATCTCACCCCCGCATGAGGAGTTTCGAGGCAACGCATGGGTGCTGGCAGGTGTGGTTGCTGGGTCGCTCCTAGTTGTCGCCTCTCTCTTTCAGAACCCCGCTGTTCCTAACTCCCTGTTGCAAAACCCCTTTCTTCTAATCCTCCCTGCCCATATCCCTCTTCCCTCTCTATCCCCACTTGGTCCTGCCAATTCCCTCCCTCTTCCCTCTCCTCTCCCCTCCCCAGGAAAGCTCCTCTGCAAGATGAGGGCCTGCTGGCCGTTCGAAACCTTTTTCTACGTTGGCCGTCCGCTCTACAGATCCCTTCACAAGCTGGTTCCAAATCCCCTCTCCTCAAATCCACGTTTCTTCCAAACCCCATCTTCCCTCCCCATCCCTCCTCCCCAGGCAAGCTCCTCCGCAAGGTGAAGGCCTGCTGGCCGTCCGCTGTGCTTCTGGCGTCTACTCTGCCACCCTGCTCCAAAGTTGTTCTTACTCTGCCCAGTCCGTGCTCCCTCTCTATTCCCCCCCACTGTCCTCCGCCAGGCAAGCTCCTCCGCAAGGTGAAGGCCTGCTGGCCGTCCGCTGTGCTGCTGGCCTCTGCTCCCCCATCCCAAACCTGCTCACCCCAAACCCACCTGTCTGGTTCCCTGTCTATCCCCTCCCTCTTTTCTTCCCTCCCCAGGCAAGCTCCTCCGCAAAGTGAAGGCCTGCTGGCCGTCCGCTGTGCTTCTTGCCTCTACTCTGCCGCCCGTTTCCTCTGCCGCCCACAGTGAACAGTGCGGGCGGGAGGGTGAGAGGGTGAAGGGGGCGAAAGGGGGCAGAGAGGTGGGAGAGGAGGAAGAGGAGGGTTGCAAGAGGAGGCGGATGGAGGGGAGGGAAGAGTGCGGGGAAGAGGATGCGGGGAAAGAAAGCGAGAAATGTGATCAGAACGAGTTTTATCTGCAAGTGCTTCAAGCCGTGCACGCCATGGGTATGTGGCTATGTTGAAAGTGCGGGGACGTTGCTGGATGTGCGTATAATGGGGTGTGCAGGCATATTGTGTGATGTGCTTATGTGGAGGTGACTCTCAAGTCGATTCAAAAGTCACCTGGCGATGCATGCCATGGGTGTGTGCCAATATTGCGATCGTGTGTGCTTGTGTTCGAGGTTCCGGAATTTCTACATGCATCTTTTGCTTCCATTCCCCCCTCCCCCCCTCCCCCCCCCTCCCTCTGTTTTCACGTCCAGCACTACTCGCCATTTCCCCAAGCTCCTGTTTCGTGTTCTCAACCCCTTTCCAACAAGTTTGGATGGCGTGTGGGACACGAAGCCCATACTCAATGGCCGGGATGACACTTGAGTGAACTCAAATATGTTTTCAACCCCCTTCCCACCAGGTTTGGATGGCGTGTGGGACACGAAGCCCATACTCGATGGCCGCGATGTGGTTGCAGCTCTGGCGCTCAATAAAGGCGACCCGCGTACCGGATATTGGGTACGTCAAGTGAACACATGTGTCGGAAGTTTGCCGATTGCTCTTTTTAGCTGTGTAGTTCGTATGCTTCATACTTATTCCCGTTTGGGCTGTTTTCCCATATTCCAACACATCCCATTCCTTGGCACATCCAGCTCATATGTGTCGCTTTTGTTTATGCTTGTGGTGTGCAGATGGACCGAGTGATGGAGTGGCAATTAGCTAATCCAGACAATGGATCAACCGAGGAATGTACTGCTTGGTTGAAGGCGCAGGTCAAGGTCCTTGAAGCCGGAGATACGGAGTGACTTACACATGGAGGTTGCTGAGAATAAGGGTTGTTGCTATGCATACCTACCAATGTATCATGTTCCAGGTAGTGTACTGTTATGAAATTTAACAGCCACGATTCTGTTCAGCGACTTTGTGGAACTCCGCACGTGTTCACGGAGGGTGTGCTGGCTGGATCTGGGGGCCTCTCACGTGGCTACGTGACAGCACACGCGATTTGAGCTGCTTCGATTTGCTCAAGAAGGTTGCTGGTCGTTTCAACCCACCGATCGCGGGAGTCCGCCAGTAGGGCGCCCGATTGACTCGAATTGACACCTCAGCTCGCACACCTGACCAATCGGGGAGATTTGACTGGCCCATGCCCACTGCCATATCCTGAGAATGCTCAACAGCTCGACGCTGACGTGTGCGAGGGGTCACCATGACCCGTCATGATACGACATTTTGACAAGTGTTTGCCACGACACAGGGGATGCCGTTCAGCTGACAGGGCTGACGAGCTCTGTTCATAGCCGATCGATCTAACAAGAGAACCAATCGAAACCGCATGTTCCATGTCTGACAATAAGGACGTGGGCCCAATCGAGTTTGATCGCCTCGATCACACGCGATCAATAATTTCTAGGAAGACTAGAAGCCAATTTCATGCAATCGGGGGCAATCAGCTGATCGCGATCAGCTGATCGCCCCAACTCAATCAGACCCGATTTTCACCCCGATCAGAGTCGATTTTCCTCGATCACAGGCGATCACCTGATTGCATGTAATCGAGGCCCACAGCGACGTTTGCGAGTAGTTACACAGTTGCAGTTACAGTGAAACGAGGATTTTCGCCAGGTGACTTAGGTCGCCAATCTCGCTAGAATGGGGACGAAAATGCGAGGTAAATGTACCGCGCTTGCTAAGCAGACGCTGGAAATCTTCTTCGAAAAACATCTCTGATCGGGCGGCTCGGGCACTGCGATCACAAGCAACCCGATCAGATCCGACCAGATCAGATCAGTCGCGATCAAACTCGATTGGGCCCACGCCCTAAATTTCCCTCGTTGGCCGATTACCTTCAGCAGGATTTCTTGGGATTGTCGTTCCACTCCATCATCCTCCTCCTCGTCCTCTTCCTCGTCATCTTCGTTGTCGTTCTGATTATTCTGTCATTTGGCATTGTCAAATTCATTTTTCACATCAGTCACATTTTCCAACCTCATCCCCAGTCTTCATTTTCTGATTCTCTTACCGGACCTGTTTTGCGTTCAACAAATAGTGTCGGCCGTGATTTCAGTGTTAGATTTTGCAGCATTCGTCCTGCATTAACGCAAGATTCGTACTCGCATTCGCTGAAAGTCCTTTGCATTGCTATTTAAACAACTCGGAGTCCTGGTTATCGTACTTTGTAACGTGTGAAGAACTCTCATTTGAGCGGAGCCCTCAGTCTACTTGACCTTCTCTACTTTGTAAGCTCCATCGCAGGTCGAAGGCTGTTATCTAACGTTCTCCTTCTTTCACTCGTCCATCACATTCGTCTTGCATCCTCTTGATGTCCTTACATCGCGATTGACTGGGTTGCCGGAAGTTGGTAAACGACACTCATCGTCAGCACCAGCTTCAGGGGTCCATCAGATATTCCATACCTCCTCAATCCCGGATGTCTACTGCACAACATCTTATTGCACAATCTTTTTCAAAGCTCACCAACCAGGCGCCGGAGGAGTAACGTGTCATGCTCATCTTCTCAACCCTGACTCCCCTTCTCCTCTTAATCTCTCTTCCTCTTATTAGCCGACGCGCTCAAAGCGCTGCTGCATCCATGCTGGCCCTCTTCCACAAGTCCATACGCCATGCGCCGGAGGAGCTGATGGTACCTGCGGCATTCCACGCTTCTCCCTCACTGACGCCATGGCTCCTCTTCCCCTGTTCGTCCCACCAGCAGTTCGACCCCAAGCGCCTGCAGCCATGTTGGCCATCTTCCAGAAGTCGATAGGCGAGGCGCCGCAGGAGCTGATGGCGCCAAAACTGAACCGGTCGGGGTCCATGTCGGGCCGGCTGGACGCGAAGGAGATCCTCCACGGCTTCAAGCAGGCGCACCCGGGCGCCGTGCTGATGCAGTTTGACGAGCAACACGCTATCGCGTACACGCACGACATGCAAGACTTTCTCATGCCCAGGTGGGTCGCAGCCTTCAGATGTTTCGTCATTCTCATTGCGTCCGTGCTTTTGGTTGTTGCGAATGAGGTCTGTTTTTATTTGCGTGAGCCATCCATGCACGGTAAGCTTGAGTAGAACCATACAACATTGAAAGCCACGTTTTGCGAGCTCTATCCTTGTGCCTTCGACATTACATCTTATTTTCTTTCTCTGCCATTTAGAATGAATCCCTGATGTACTGCGTAACAGCTGTACATCTATTCCCTCCCCGACGCCAATCTACCCTAACCTCTTCCGCCTTTTCCATCACCAGGCAATTCGCCGCGTGGGACGACGCCTCCGACGACAACATCCAGGCAGCGGCGCTCTTTATCCCGCTTCCTAGCAGCCGGGATCAACCCTTCTCTCATGCATCCCCGTCCCCCTAACAGGCAATCCATGCAAAAGCGTCTTCTTCCCCTTCGCGGATCAATTCCAGAACCTTGCGCAGCGTCGCCAACGGTACGGTCTGGACCGGCACGTGTGCATGGCTAACGCTTCCGCCTTCCATCCCTCTGCTCCCTCCGCTCCCTTTGCTCCCCCCGCTCGGCCAGGCAATTCGCGGCGTGCGACGATGTCTTCTGCGCGTTCGCCGGCAACATCGAGAACCTCGCGCAGCTGCGGCAGCAGTATGGGCTGGACCGGCACGTGAGCGAGGTGAATCTGATCATCGAGGCGTACAAGACGCTGCGCGACCGCCGCCCGTACCCGCCCGACCAGGTCATCGCGGACCTCGCGGGCGCGTTCGCGTTCGTGCTGTACGATAACAAGGCGAAGAAGGTTTTCGTGGCACATGTGAGTGGGAAATAGTGGGGTAAGGGCTGGGAGTCCGGGAATAAGAATTAGGTATGGTAGGGGTCAACATTCGCGTTCGTGCTGTATGGCAACAACGCGGAAACGGTGTTTAGACGTTATGGGGAGGATTGAGCTGGTATAGATACCAATGCGAGCGATTCTGTAACATTTGTTCAAGGTTATGGATCACGGGTTAGGGTTAGCGTTTCTTAAAGAGCTTGAAGGTTTCGTCTAGTTGTGACCCGTCCACCTGTCAAAGAGGGTCTGAAGAACAAAGAACAAGGCAGGGCGCATTAGCAAAGCACGACGGTTGTTGAGCCAAGGGGGGGATCTTTAATGAGCCAGGGCGACTGTGTGGATTGGAGTGATCTTTTGGGGGGTGGACGCCAGATACAAATGATGAGCCAGATGACTTTGAGTTGACTCGTTCTCACGCAATGCCCTTTTTCTTTTGACATTCCCTCGCTTGCAGTTAGGCAAGTGCCTGGACGATGGAATTGCGTTCTCAGACTCAAAACTCAAAGCCGCGCTCCACCTCCATCCATCCCTCTCTCCCCTTGCCCTCCTCCCCAAACAACCAGGTCGCGCAAGGCAAGGTGCCCTTGTACTGGGGCAAGTGCCTGGACGACGGAGTGCTCTCTTTCTCATTCTCATAGGCAAGACGGCAAGACTCAAGTCACGCCACTCTCTGTCCATCCCCCGCTCTCTCACGTTTCTCTCTTCTCCCTGCTCTCTCTTGTCCCCTCCCCCAACAACCAGGACGCGCAAGGCAAGGTGGCCCTGTACTGGGGCAAATGCCTGGTCGATGGAGTGCTCGCCTTCTCAGGGCAACTAGACTCAAGGCATGCCCCTCTTGTGCCAACTCTCGCTTTCTCTGCGCTCCCCCTTCTCCCCCGTTGCCCCCACCAGGACGCGCAAGGCAAGGTGCCCTTGTACTGGGGCAAGTGTCTGGACGACGGAGTGCTCGCCTTCTCAGACGACCCTGCTGTGCTCAAGGCCGGCACCGGCTCCTCCTTTGCCCCCTTCCCTCTCGGTACGCCTCTGGCCCATCACACATCCCATCGCACATCCACACATCCCCTTTGCGCATCCCATCACACATCCCATCAAACATCCCATGACACATCACTTCACACATCACTTCACACATCACTTCACACATCACTTCACACATCACTTCACACACCCCTTCAAATCCCATCCCACATCCCATTCCACACCCCATCACACATCCCGCCGCACATCCCTTCATACACCCATCACACGTCCCATCACACATCCCTTCCCACATCCCATTTCACACATCCCTTCACAAATCTCATCACGCATCACATCACACACCCATTCACCCATCTCCTGTGAACGTGCTCAGGCTGCTTCTACTCCTCTGACTGTGTCAGGTGCAGCCTCACATGCCATACAAAACAGGCCACTCAGCATGTGCACAATTAATGGGAGCAAACATTTTCCCCCTCAGCCCCCTTCCTCGCTCATTCCTGTCCCCCGTTACCCCCTTTCCCCACACGCACACGCTCCACCCCCCCCACCACCGCCTCTTTATGCCCTGTCACCCTTTGTCACCCCTTGTCACCCGATTTCACCAACCCCCACCCCACCCCACACCTGCAGGCTGCTTCTACTCATCCGACGGTGGGCTGCGCAGTTTCACCCACCCGGAGAAGCAGCTGAAGGCCATTCAGCACATTGACAGCCAGGGGGAGCTGTGTGGCGCCACCTTCAAAGTCGATAGCCAGCAGGACCTGACCCAGATGCCTCTAGACCCCAAGGACGACAGTGGAAGGGGCTGGTCGTAAACGTGTTATAAATATATATTTAGCGGGAGGTGGATGAAAAGGATACACTACAGTGGTGCTCGTTATACCTGCAAGGATATGACTTGGTTGCTGCTAAAATTGCAAGGAGTGGACCGGGTTGGTTGTAGAACACCAACGACAATTATGCTGCTGCAGCTTGTTAGGCTGCTTTGAGAATCACATATGTTATCTACAGTCAGTTTAGTTGTGTGGGGCAGGGCAGGAGGATGCTGCTGTAGGCTTGTTTGATTGATAAGTACAAAGGATGCTGCCTATATTTGTTCCTTGTTTCCCAACATTTCCAAATTTTCAAGTCTCTTGCATAGTGAGTGGGTACTACACTGGAAAATGGCTTCAGTGAGGGTAAAACAGGATAGCTAGCCACACTTGGAATGTATTTTTTCCCATCATACATCCCATCATATACCGCACCGTACGTACATCCCAGTGTGACAGGCGGTGCACCTATCATCGAACAAAAATATTGATGTACGGTACTTCAAAAGTTTGCCTAGTTATGTACCAGCAGGAAAAGTGCATATGAATGGCTATGAGGCAGCCTCATTGTAAGAACATGTCAGGCTAGGAAAATTGACCGGGGTTAGTCATCAGGGCCCGTGGAGTTCCCAAGCAACGCACTATGTTGCTGTTTTCCTGCTGCTGTTTCTGCCTCCGTCTCTGCAGCAGCATCCGCTGCATGCTCGTGCTGCTGGTGTTTCTGTTTCAGCTGCTGCATCAGTTTCTGTTACTGATACTCCTTCAAAGACGCAAGCCTGCCCGAACTTTCTCGACCTGTACTCTGATCCCCAACCAGGTCACCTCTCCTAGCCATGTCCCTTTCCTGTGAAGCCCAAGGGTTGGACAAGGAAGGAGGTAGCAAAGTCGAGTACTGCCTACTAATGCTGCTGCCGCCGCTGCTGCTGCTACTAATGCTGCGAAAGTGGTCGCTCACTCCTTCCCAAAGCTCTGCCTGACTGGCACTGCTCCCGCTGTGCCTCCTGCGGCTCTGCACATTGCAGTTCTTCCCCTGAGACTGGTAGCACTGTGACTGGTGTTGAGATGCGAACTCCCACCAGCCGCCACTCTATTTCCGCCACGTGTCCAGGGAAGAACCAATTCAGTCGACGTCGGAACTGGTTTGTCCGCCAAACCCACCCGCCTGGAGCGCACATGATCCGAGAATTCCTCTTGTTCCTCGCAGGTAAAGGGAGAACTAGCGGAATTGTCTCCAGATTTTGACCGCCAATGAGTGCGCCCGCCACTTTTCTGGCCCCCATTTTCCAAGTCGCCTTTTCCCCCTTCGTGCGCAACCAGTTGTACTGTCCGCGACGATTCGCTGATGCTGCTGGGGAAGTGAACAGATCGGGCGGCTGGTCTGCGCGCACCCCCCTCCGCTTCCGCCACTTCCTCCTGCTCGGTCCGTATATGGCGCAAAAGCTCCGCCACGTCGCAGCTTCCGCCGCTGTGGCTCAGTCTGCTCGAAAGACCAGTTGCTTCTCCACTGGTGACGGGCAAAGCTCGAACAGATCGCAAGGGCGTCACGTTTCGAACGACACGGACTTCCCTAGACGACGGCGACGAGGACTGAGCGACGAGATTCAGAGGTTTGAGACTTCCGTGCGAAGTGCGCGACGGCATCCTGTCCCCTGCGAAGTGATCGCGGATCAACGGTGCGACATCTTGGCTGGCGCCACTGTGACGAAGCAAGGTCCCCGCCACCGCCTGCGCCGCCGCCGCCAGCGCCGCTGATTCTGCCGCGGTTCGGCGAGTCCGCATCCCAGTCATGACTCCTAGAAGAATGAATTGCCCGGTTGCTACCCGTAGCAGTAGCAGTCGCGGTCACTTTGCGGTCACGTTCAGTCGCGGTCGCCATGCGCGGAACCACAAAGCGGAGCGGAGAGCCCTGCGGAGAGCCGCGCAGCCCACGCCGCTTGCACGCCTCCGTCGGACTGCGCGAATCGCGCGAATTGCAAGTCGGGAGTGGGCTCACGCAGCGAGAAGACCTGGAGGCCCGCGCTACGCCTGACTGCGGCGCGGAGCTCCCGCCATCAGAATCTGAACCTTCGTTTCCGCGCAGAGTCCGTAGCGGGCTTGCGCAGCGAGACCGCGCTACGCTTGAGTGTGGCGCGCAGCTTCCACCAGCAGAATTTGAATATTCGTTTCCGCGCAGAGTCGGTAGTGGGCTTGCGCAGCGAGAAGGTCCGGAGGGCCGCGCTGCGCCGCCTGACTGCGGCGCGCAGCTTCCACCAGCGGAATCCAACCCTTCGTTTGCCCGCGTTTCACGGGTGGTACTGCTAGTAGTACGGCTACCATGGGGGGCGGCAATAATATTATTCCGCGCGTCGCGCTCCTCGAGATCCCGCTCCTCGCGGTCCATCTCATCCTCTAGCATCTGCACCAGCCGCGCCATGTCGCAGCTCCCGCCACTCCCCGCCAGTGTTGCCCTACCAGGGACCCCCCAGCGGCGCTCCATACGCTTCCCCGCGGCGACGCCAGTGGCGGCAGAACACCCCTTCCGCGCATCGTGCTCCTCGCGGTCCATTTCATCCTCTAGCATCTGCACCACCCGCGCCATGTCGCAGCTCCCGCCGCTCTTCCCCAGGCGCGCCGTCCGCTTCCCCGCGGCGGAGCCGGTGGAGCCAGCGCACCCCTTCCGCGCGTCGTCACGGTCCGCGCGCGCGCGCGTTCCCGCCGGCGGGGAGTCGCATTCGCGAGCATCCATCGACGGGACGAGTCGCCAGACGTCGCAGCTGCCGCCGGAGCGCTGTAGAGCCCCTCGCGGCGGCGGCGCCGTTCTCTTCTCAGCCATTGCCGCAGTAGTTGCGCTGCCTCCGATAGTGCCCCGTACTTCGATACTATCCATACTAATTCTATTAGAAGCCCTGCGCCGCGTTTCCCGTCGCGTCGCCAGGATCCGCTCCCATTGCTCGTCGGTCCCGAAGGTAAGCGGCTGTTGCGGCTGCGCATCACGCGCAGGATGATTGTGGTCGGCGCTCCCACGACGCTGCTCCTTCCGCTGCTCCTTTTGCTGTTCCCTCTGCTGCTCCTTCTGCTGCTGCTGCTTCTGCTGCTCCTGCCGCATCGTCCCGTCAGCTTGCTTTTTGCAGCTGTCGGAAACTCGGGCGGCACAAGTTCTTGATACCACCGCGACATCCGGCTGCGGCTCCGGAAGAGTCGGCGCGGATGCGCGGCGCAGAAGCGAGGCAGAAGGCGGAAGATGCGGAGGTCCCGCAGGAGCGGAGGCGGGGCCGGGAGAGTAGAGCGACTGAGCGGGCGACGCTGCCGCGGTGGTACAGGTTGAGGGGGCTTGCGGCGGGCAGGAGGGGGAGGGGGTGCGCGCAATTGACGAGGGGGAAGGGACGTTCAAGGAGAGGTGCGGTTTGCGCGTCTGCGGAGCAAGAGGGTCGTGCGGAATCTTGCCGGGGGAGCTCTCGTGCGGCGGTGTTAGCGCGTCGAGCGCGCACCGCCGCTGCACTTGTAAGGCTCGCGGACGCGGGTGACGCTGAAGGCTGGGCTTTCGCGTTTCCGGCTGATGCTGGTGCTGCTCCGTGCCTTCATGCCTCAGATAGGACGGCATTGCGCTGTTCTCGCAGATCAGCTTGAAAATGCTGAAGGAGTACGACGAGCTGCTCTGTCGCTACATCGCATTATGGACTCGAGTCGAGACTCAACTCTGATCCATTGTAACAAATTTCCGGGACGAAGGAGCAGGGGTTCTCTTCTCTCCCAGCCTCCCACTGGTGATCTTTAGAACAGCTGTAGGATTCAGAGTGGGTGGTATGCTTGCTGGATGGCGCGTGCTACTTTTCAGAGTGGGTGGTATGCTTGCTTCTCACCGCTCGTCTGAGCGACTTTACAGCAACTGTGCATTGCTCGCATCCGAAATTCGGCACTGCAGATACAGTACAAACGACTGTCACGTCATGTCTCTCGACACAGAAGGGAAAGCATTCGCGGCGAAAAAAGGCGAACTGGCAGAAGCCAGGCTTGCGCAGATTACACGCGTAAGTTGCCAGCTTGGTTACCTGATGGTCCCGGGATTGCGCTGCGATGCATAACGCAATGAGATCGACTGCTTTGCGATGAAAACCGGCGATGCTCGCACACATACAACGAGCCAAACCTGGCAAGAGGCTGTCGCCGGCGACCATATCTTACACGAGAATCTTGATCGTCAGGGCACGAATGATGGTCACAAGTGGGCCTGCGAGATGCCAGCTTCCCACGTACAGCAAGGTAACCAGTTTCGCACGTCAAGGTCCTGCGAGTCAATCGCATTGTTGCTACATAAATCATTCATGGCAACGTGGCCCGTTCTGCTAACGCGTACAGTTTGCCACTCTAGACACTTATGTGCAACCACATAGCAGACTGTTCTTCATAGCATGGCAAGCAAGTAGCCCTCCTCTAAGGGGTTTACATAGATATGGAAGCAACAGGCTTGCCGTGCCAATGCAAGATCCATGTGAGAACATTATCCAAGCAAAAAACAACTGCCAACAGTTACTACAATATGGTAGTAACCTACGGTACTTATTTCCCCATCTACATTATTATTTGTAACCCAAGCCAGACTTACTCTCCCCACTTCACTTCCGGGCCTTCAATTCACTCCCCTTGACCGCTCTTTCTCAACTTCTTGTCACCTGCTTCTGCCTCTGACCCTGCTTCTGCCTTTTCACTTTCTCCCCTTCCTCTGCTTCTGCTTCTTGCCCTTCGCTGCAACCTGCACTGCCGCTGCAACCCTCACATCAACGGCGTCACTCCTCATGCGAACGGCTTTCCCTGGTGTCTCATCCTCCCCACTAGATGACAATGATGCAGATTCACCACCAACATCCATCTCCCCTGCCGCTGGTGCCGTTACGGCTAATGTTTCTGCTGGTGCTGCTGCAGCTGCTTCTTGTGCTGCTGCTTCCGCTGCTGCCGCCGACCGTAAATCCTCCGATCGGTCCGAGGGAATGCTGTGATCGGCCATGGCATCGCCCGTAGCAGCCCGCACGCTCCGTGTCTCCAGCACCACCAGCTGCCGGTGCTCCAGCTCAAACTGCATGAACGGCTGGCTCTCCCAGTCTGCAGTGCAAGCGTCCACCAGTGCTGCCAGCTGGCGGACGTTGCGCACCCGCATGCCGTTGAGAGAAACGAGGCACGTGTTGGTGATATCCTCGTACCCTATGTTGGCCTCATGCGCTAGCACCTGGATAGAACAAGGGAGGGAATCAGGGAAATCGGGCGTGAGTACCGCTGAGAGCGACGAGGCACGTGTTGGTGATGTAATCGTGTTGGTTTCATGCGCTAGAACCTGCTTTGAAGGCGGACGGCAAGGAGAGAGAAGGGGCGGAGGAGCAGGGAGGCAGAGCATACGTGTGGCGGAGGAGCAGGGAGATCGAGCAGGCACGTGTTGGTTAGTCTCATGGTTAGTCTGTCTGTAAGCAGGCACCTGATTTAGGTCTCAGGGGTTCGGGGTTAAAGGCCTGACCGACAGCGATCCCCCAACCTGCCCCTCATATGACTTGGCATTTTTTCACCTGCCTCAGCTCATCGAGCCTTCTCTCACCTGCCTCGACCGTTTCTCGCCTGGCTAAACTCTTTCACACCTGTCCCAACCACTTCTCACCTGGCTGAGCACCACCACCTCCTCGTCCTCATGCTTTGCAAGCCCATGCAGCAGCTTCTGCAAATCAGCGACTCAATAGATGCCTCTTACCGGACCCAGGGCAAGCCCAATAACAACACTTAACCTGCCTCAACCGTTCCTCACCTGCCTAAACCGTTCCTCACCTGCCTCTACCGTTCCTCACCTGGCTCAACCGTTTCTCACCTGGCTGAGCACCACCACTTCCTCATCCTGATGCTCCGCATGCCCATGCAGCAGCTTCTGCAGCAGCGAAACCGGCGACTCAAACTCAAACTCGCTCCCATACTCCGACTGCAGAAACGGCTGCACTGCCGGAGTGAAAACTAGCCCTGCAACGATCAAATAGGTTGGCGGTTTCCCTCCCGTGTGGACCGGAATGAGCCGTTTCGGCGGCTTCAGCTGCACCTGAACTTTCGTCAGCTGCCCGTCGCGGAGAATTTCCAGCCGGGCAACCTCGCCGGAGAATTTTTGGCTGACCAGGAACCCGTAGGAGATGCGCTCGCCGGTTCGGAAAGGAACTGTACCGTCGCTTGCGATGGGGACATTGTCAAATGACATGATCACATCCCCTTGCTGTAACACGCCATGAGCACGAGACGTTGGGTCGACTTTTCGCACGAGCACACCCTTCTGCCCGGGCGACATTTTCAGAGCTGCCCGGAGCGCAGGATTCTCCAGCCTCTGCCAGAGGATTCCGATCGCGGGAAAACCGGTGTACTGCCCGTTCCTTCGGTAATCCCCGAGAAAATGCGAGATCACCGGCGTGGGGATGATATACCCAATATTCTCGGTGTCACTATCTTTCAGGGACTGAAACGCTATCCCCACACACTCCCCGCGGTCGTTAAAAGCCGGGCCGCCGCTGTTCCCCGGGTTAATTGCTGCGTCGATTTGCACTCCTAGGAGCTCTGACGCGCCGTGAGCGTACGCGGTTACTTCGATACGAGAGACGACGCCAGAGGTGACTGATATGCTGTCTCCTCCCACCGGGTACCCCACCACTGTTACTGCATCCTCCAAGTGAGGGAGCCCGCCGAACCTGTGTTTGAGAGGAAAAAGGGACGAGGAGCAGGAGACGGAAGGTGGAAAAGAGAGGGGAGTTGGGAGATTGCTGCGTCGATTTGCACTCCTAGAAGCTCTGAGGCGCCGTGAGCGTATGCAGTTACTTCGATACGAGAGACGACGCCAGAGGTGACTGATATGCTGTCGCCTCCCACTGGGTACCCCACCACTGTCACCGCGTCTTCCAAGTGAGGGAGACCGCCGAACCTGCAGCAGAGGAGTGAAGGTGGCAGGCGGGGAAAGGAAGTTAGGATGTTGGATTATAAGGAGACGACGCCAGAGGTGACTGAGATGCTGTCGCCTCCCACTGGGTACCCCATTACTGTCGAGGGATTTTTACCTCACAGCACCTCACTGCACCTGAACGGAAAGACTTGAGCGGCTGGCGGCCCTGCCAGACCGATTCGTCGCACGAGTTTAGACAGCAAGGAGCACAATGTCGCACTCCACACCACTCGCCAGCACCTCACAACACCTCTCAGCACCTCACACCACACCACGCCACGCCGATCGCCAGCGCGCAATACCTGTGCGGAAGCACCTGGGCAACTGTCGGCACCCCACAGCACCCCATAGCACCACACAGCACCTCACCTGAGCGGCTGGCGGCCCTGCCAAAACGATTCGTCGTCCACAGCAAGGAGAGCAATGTCGCACTCCACGCCGATCGCCAGCACGCGTGCGACGAACTTCGTGTCGTCGCCGCGTCGCTTCAGCTTCACCTGCGAGTGGTGGCGTACGCGATACAATGCGCGTTCGTAAAAAAAAAAAAACACACACACAAAAGTCTTCCAAAAAAAGGGAAAAAGGCGTCTCCGGAATTTCACCTGCGTATGGTGTTCCACGCAATGCGCGTTCGTCAGAATTCGCCTGCCCGGAATCATGAACCCGCTGCCCGTCGACGAAAACTGCCGCCGCTTCTGCCAGGGCAGCGAGAAATTCGGCTGCGTGTGCGTACAGTACACCTTAACGACCGCGTCTAGAAACGGGGAATCCGGCACGTCATCCTCGATATTGTCTCGCGACCCGCTAATAAGCCATGCCGCGTCAACGTCCTTGGATAAACCCAGATCGCCCAAATCGGACGGTTCCGCTTCAAGCAGACCCCCGTTTCCGGTAAACTCGTTAACTCCGAAAGCCGAGCCGCCGTGTCCGCGACCCCCCTTTCGCTGCTGCTTCGCTTCCTGCGCGGTCCCTCCTAGACCAACTTTCCCGCCTTTTTTTTTAGACGCATCCTTAATGATTCGAGAGGATTTAGAGGCTGCACGAGCCGCCACCCCACGAGACGCCTGCTGCTGCTGGCTTGGAAGGAGAAAGAGCGGCGCGGATGTTAGGAGAGCAGATTTGGACGCGGCTCCGTGGTGGTTCTTCGAATCGGCATCCGCGATTTGCGGCGATGGCGCGGGAATTAAGGGGGAGCGGAGGCCGTTGGCGGGAAGCGTGAGCGGGGATACGCGGAGGATCGACGGGGAGGGGAGCGCTGGGGAGGCGGAATGGAGGCGGGAGAGGAATGCGCATGGTCTCCCTCGTTTTAAGCACGAATGTGATAGAAACGAGGTGAAGCTGATTGCCTGGAAGAGACCCTGCTGGGTGGCTCGCGCGGCGACTACAACAACCATGCCGGGCGATAATCGGTTTGGCGAGGGGGATGGGAGGGATCTGTTGCGATGCGACACGGGTCACGCTCGACGCGAGAAGGCGATAAGAACACGGAAGGAGCAGGAGCGTTCTCTGCCTCGTCCTGAGGCAGAGTGCACCGGCGGACTTGCTAAAGGAGGTTGATTAAAGCGCAATCTGGAACCCTAAGTTGCTCGCAAGTGGAGCTTGAAAGGTGTCCGTGTGGATGGATAAGGGATCCCCAGGAGTGTGTTTTTTGTTTGGGGGATATTCGGATTCTGACAGGGCAATTGTGGTGTAGCTGGACCTTACAAATGTGGAAATTGTGAACCATATTATTGAGGCTGTCCATAACGAATCACAGCGTCTCTTCCCTCCGGAAGGAAGGTTTTGGATCCTGTAAGGAAAATTCATTTTCCTTACTTCGCGCCCTTGCTTACCGCGTACAAGACGGTTCCCGCCAAAGGCACCCAACAGTGAAACGTTACCCGCTCGCGACACTCGCCTCGACCATTGCTCCCGCCACTGTACACCTCGCGACCCAACCTCACGGTTCGGTTGGTAACCCGCGCTCTGATCCTCCGCCTCGACATTTCCCAACCTCGGCGCTAGGCCCGTCGCGCACCACATTCTCGCACATGACTGTTACCACGCTAGGCTTTCGCTATATATTGTTCGCTCATTCCTTCGCTCATTGTACTTTTTGCTTCGATAGTTCAATTCTCGCTCGCTCACTCTATTGCACTCGTAACACTTGGTATTCAGAGCCTACGATCTCTTCTCGGACCGCACCCACACCCTCGCTTCACCACTATCTCAAATTTTGGGGGGGGTAGACGTCTCTCAGCGATCAAGCACCGCTGCTGATGTGCCTTCTCGCAAGCACACTCAGCCACGACCGAGGCTCTCGCTGAGCTCGCCCGACACCCCCGCCATGGCCGAATTCAACCTTGCGACGTTGACGCAAGAACGCCTCGACCAACTCGTACGCCAGCTCGAGGAATCGACACTCGAAATTGCGACACTCATGGCGGAACGCGACTCCGCCCGACAGCAATCAACGGTGAATGCACCAGCACCAGCACCTGCAAATGCTCCTGCACAATCGGAGGAGTCGATTATCATCTCATCCGGCACACCGTCGCAACACGACAGCTGGGACATCGCTCAGGCGCAGCCAGCGACGGCGCCGCCCAATCTTTTCCCGGGCATGGAGAGAGCAAGGACCACATCGGGCGTAAATGTACCTCGCGAGGCTCGTCGTCACGTCGGATTTGCGACATCAGCCGGCAACGACGACATTGGTGAGCCGATGCCACACAAGCCGCAACGCCCGCCCTGCTTCGATCCTAGCCAGCGTGGAGGTCCGACGGTTCAATCGTGGGTGTTCACGATGAACGTGTCTTTTTACGCGAACTACGTCACGTCGGATGCAGTGAAGATCCGGTACGCCGTATCGTTGATGCGGGGCCCCGCCATGGACTGGTGGCGAGTCATCGTGACGTCGCCACGCGCCTACAAGCCACTGTCGCAAGAGGAAGGGCCCGCGGGCCCAGCCGTCACCTGGAGTTCATTCTGCGAGACAGCCCAATACAGCACGTGGGACGCGTGGTGCGCAGGGCTTCGGACGCGCTTCGAGCCAATCGCGGCCTCGATTTCAGCACGTCAGAAGCTGCGCACTTGGCGACAGCTTGGGTCGGTCCAAGACTACACCAGCGGTTTTCTCGCGCTGTGCGAGCAAGTCGGCTACATGTACGAAGCGGAGCGAGTGGATCGCTACGTCGGTGGCCTGAAGCTGGAAATCTCGCAATAGATTCTTCTTCGCGGGATCTCGAACTTCAACGAAATCTTGGCGCTAGCGGAGAAAAACGACATCCTACGCCGTCCGAGATCGGGGTCCTACTACGGACATCGCCCTCGGGGACCGACCGAGCACGCCACTGTACACGCCGTTGCGACGAATGCAGCTGCCGCGCCGTTTAAAAGGCGCTTCTTCGCGTGCAACAGGCCGGGCCATCGCAAGAGCGAATGCCCAGAGGAGCTAAGGCGCCGTGGAGCAGAGCAGGGGAGGGAGTCTGGGAGGCAGGGAAACGCCAACAGTCAGTAGAGTGCGGGCCCACTACTGACGAGACTCACTGCTCGCCCGACCTCACTGACCCTCACTGAGTCACAGTACCGATTCATGCAATTGATCGGGCTCGGCTGAATAAAGAGGGTACAGCGACAGATTGCCCAATACTGATTCACGGGAAAATACAGGGGGTAGCAGTGAGGTTTTTTATTGACGGAGGAGCAAGTAACAACTTAGTTAATAATGCGACGGCACGGAACCTGCACCTGACACTTAGCCGCTGTTTACCGGAGATCGACGCACGCTTAGTTGACGGTACGTTACTGGCTATACGGGAAAAAGTGGAGAGAGTGAAGATTCGTTGCGGGGGACATTTCGGGTTTACACAGGAAATGCTCGCGACGACGCTGGATGGGCACGACATTCTACTGGGACGTGATTGGCTGTGACGCTACAACCCACGAATTGACTGGACGACAGGTAGCTGCACTGTACGAAGCGGCGGTAACTGGGTCGCACTACCTCGCTGGCAGTCGCATGAGTCTTCAACGGTCCACGTCAACGCCATCACGATGAAATGGGCTGTCGCCGCTGGAGCTGACATGTACGTAGTAGACATCACGGTAGTAGGAGAAGCAGAGGAGCCGAGTGTTTTCAGAAACTTCTAGCAGCCGTACCGCCCGAACTACAGGAACTACTGAAACGGTACCCGGGGATTTTTTCGAGACGACTTACCGGAGGGACTGCCACCTCAGCGAGCACACAACCACCGCATAGAATTAGAACCGGGGGCACAGCCACCCGTACAGAGACAGTTCAGACTGACACAGCCCGAGCTCGACGAACCGAGGAAGCAGCTAGACTACCTGTTAGAGAAAAAAACCATCCGACCGAGTTCGTCCCCGTTCGCCGCACCGATACTGTTCATACCGAAAAAGGACGGAGGATTTCGCATGTGCATCGACTACCGCGCACTGAACAGGGTAACAGTCAAGTCACGATACCCCATCCCCCGCGCCGACGAACTGGTAGATCAACTGCGAACAGCACGGGTGTTTTCGAAAATCGACCTACGGGGAGGTTACCACCAGATTAGAGTCGAACCATCGAACTGTGCCAAGACAGCTTTTAGAACTAGGTACGGATTGTTCGAGTACACGGTGATGCCGTTCGGGCTGACCAACGCACCAGCGACATTTCAGATGACCATGAACGAAGCGTTTAGGCCACTTTTATATAAATGCGTGATAGTTTACCTCGACGACATCCTGGTCTACAGTCGGGACAAGCAGCAACACTTAGCGGATCTGGAAGCAGTGTTTAAAGTTTTAGACGAGCACTGACTACTGACCAAAGGTTCCAAGTGCGAGTTTTTTCAGGACAGGTTAAAGTTTATGGGGCACGTTATTTCGGAGGCTGGGGTTGAGATCGACCCAAAGAAGCTGGACACGGTAAAAGCATGGCACACCCCGACAAATATAACGGAGCTGCAGAGTTTTTCAGGGTTCGTTAATTATATGCGTCGGTTCGTCCCCGACATGGCACGGTTAACGGCCCCACTGACGGATCTGCTGCGGAAGGGGGTCGTTTTTACGCGGGAGGAGAAAGACCATGCTGCCTTCTCTGCCCTGAAAAATGTTCTCTGTTCACCACCCGTACTGCGCATCGCCGACCCACACCGCCCATTCGAAGTGGTTACAGACGCAAGCGACATCGCCATCGGAGCCGTACTGCTACAGGACTTCGGCAACGGATTACAGCCCATCGCATACGAGTCACGAAAATTGCATCCGCCCGAGAAAAATTACCCGATACACGACCGCGAAATGCTCGCGATCGTGCACGCGTTCAAGGTCTGGCGCTGCTACTTGACTGGCGCAGACGTGACAGTACGGACAGACCACAAATCACTACAGTACCTCCGCGCACAACCCCACCCCAACCCACGACAGGTCCGTTGGCTCGACCACAAATCACTACAGTACCTCCGCGCACAGCCCCACCCCAACCCACGACAAGTCCGTTGGCTCGACTTCCTCGAGTCCAACTTTCACTACACGGTCACCTACAAAAAAGGAGCATCGAACATTGCCGTCGCACTGACCCGCCCCACTGCCCAAATACACGCCATACTACTCGCCCAGACCAGCCCACTGCTTACAGGCCTATTTACCCACGGCTACCAGACAGACCTATTCTCCACCGGAGGAAATTCACAGCAGTTCGCAGCAGCGAAGGGGGTTTATTACGTAACAGACGGCACCGACCGCATCTGGGTACCCGACTACACGTTATTACGGGAATTACTGCTACAGGAGGCACATGACGGAGTTACCTCAGGACATTTCGTAGTAGAGAAAACACGGCAGCAGCTGCAACGATATTACTACTGGCCCGAGATGCTGACTGACGTGCAACGACACGTGGCATCGTGTCCCACCTGCCAGCTCATGAAGTCGTCACTACAGCGACCGGCAGGACAGTTGCAGCCGATACCACCCCCAGAGCGTGCTTGGCAGCAGGTGACGATGGACTTCGTCACGGGGTTACCGGCCGGAGCAAGTGGGAACGACGCGATCCTGGTCGTCGTCGATCGGCTGACGAAGATGGCACATTTCGCAGCCTGCAAGAAATCAATCACAGCCGAAGAAACAGCCCGACTCTTCATCTCCACCGTCGTTCGACTGCACGGGATACCAGCAGCAATCATCAGCAATCGCGACACGAAGTTCACAAGCAAATTATGGAGGAACCTGTGGCAGCAGTTCGGCACGCGACTACAGTTCAGCTCATCGTACCACCCCGAAACCGACGGACAAACAGAACGGACAAATCAAACCATGGAGCAGTTAATACGAGCCACGTGCGACGACCCGACAACATGGGAACAGCAGCTGCCACTCATCGAATTTGCATACAACAACTCCACATCAGCCACGACGCAGCAGTCACCATTTTACCTCAACTACGGACAGAACCCAACAGTGCCCATGACCTCAAATCCCGACAACCCGGTATCACGCGCGCAACAGTTCGCAGAAATATTACAGGCAGCACGGACCCGGGCAGCAGACGCCATCAAAAAGTCGAATATCATCGCTAAGCGTAACGCCGACCGCCACCGCCGCCCCGTCACTTACCAACCCGACGACCTCGTACTCCTCGACACCCAAAACATCCGCCTGCCCATTACTCCGAAACTCTGCCCTCGATATTGTGGGCCATTCCGCATCAGCCACATGATCACGCCCGTCACCGCCCACCTCCTCCTCCCTGCTGACTGGTACGTCAGCCCCTCGTTCCACGTCAGCTTACTCCGCCCACACGTCCCCTCCACCAGCCAACTGCCTCGCAACCGCCCCGCCAGCATGACACGACCGCCAACGGAGCCAGTCATCACACCCGAGAAAATCTTGAGCCACCGAGTTCGTGATCCACGTGGAGCTCGCAGGATGGAGTTCTTGATTCGCTGGAAGGACCGCACGCCCACTGAGGACAACTGGGTGCCCCTGGATAGAATTGAAATTCACCCCGTCCTCACCGAGTATCTCCGCAGCCGCAATTTCCGGGATGTACACGCACTCTCGTAAGGGAAGCCTCCTTGGGGAGGGGGGTAGTGTAAGGAAATTTCCTTTTCCTTACTTCGCGCCCCTGCTTACCGCGTACGCGACGGTTCCCGCCAAAGGCACCCAACAGTGAAACGTTACCCGCTCGCGACACTCGCCTCGACCATTGCTACTACCACTGTACACCTCGCGACCCAACCTCACGGTTCGGTTGGTAACCCACGGTTCGGTTGGTAACCCGCGCTCCGGTCCTCCGCCTCGTCATTTACCAACCTCGGCGCTAGGCCCGTCGCGCACCACATTCTCGCACATGACCGTTACCACGCTAGGCTTTCGCTATTCCTTCGCTCATTGTACTTTTTGCTTCGATAGTGCAATTCTCGCTCGCTCACTCAATTGCACTCGTAACAGATCCCCTACTGTGCATCACACTTCATCACGTATATCAATGTTTTTCACCTCGCGCGCTACTTTTGCCAAACATTGCCCTGTTGAACAAGGCCGGTTGGCTTACGCCTCGGGAATAATGTGAACCTCGCTACCAGCACTGCATAAGCTAGCTCGCAACATTGCGTTACCGTTTGTATTTCCTATAAATCAATGTTATCTCATCCATTAGTCCACATCTTTATCTTCTGAGTCCTGACCCCATATGCAATCCTCCTCTTCGCTCGTTCAATTGCACTTGTAACAATATTCAATATGCTTGTTCTTAATATGAGCAGCTATAGTGCTGCAGTTTGTTTCTCTGTCCACGTACAATCCTTTAGTGCGTATTTCTGCGTTGGCATCATGATGAGCGTTCTGCAATTTCAGGGCGCTTCATCAACGAGCTCTATCTACGCGGTGTTGTCGTGCCCATTGCGCTAGCTGGAACCGTTTGACAATTGCTTGGTTGGCGCAACCGTGTCCGCATATGCTGCCCAGCGACTTGCTGCCTGCGTGGATGGAACGCCTACCTTCAACCTACTGATTCTACCCATCTTGAGCCCTCACCATGTCCACGAACTTCCGTTGCAGGATTTGGCAAACCGCTGAAGCAACGGCGGATGGGAAAGATAAAGATTCCGTTGCGAGCAGTTGCTGATGTCAAAGTCCACGCGATGTTATGATTGCAACCCTTCACCATGTCAACCAGCTCTACATGCTAAAAATATCCTTGACATTTTTGCTAGTTACTTATTCGGTACTACATAAGGTGTGGTTCGCAGTGAGTGCACCCTGATGGGAGAGTGCTTCAAAGAAAGCCTGGATTCCACGATTTCCAGCTTTGAATAGTGTTGCTATCACATCACATCACTCAAAGCGACAGGCCATTCTGTTTCGACGCCGCAAATTACACACCCCAGCCCGCCCCTACAGGTCTGCCATGCCAGCCTCAAACCGAACAGGCCCTAAACCCCTTGTGTGAAAATACGTGCACAGTTTGGAACAAAGGGATGGCGATAGTCTACGTATGTGGCTTTGATGGTGCCGCGATTCATCACCTGTATCAAGCTCGTTGGCTGTATTCCTCCAGAACTTAAGGGTGTTTATTGGCCTGGTTGGGTGGAACAGAATATTTGTAGTTTCATTTTTCACATAACACGCTTCATACCCTTTTCCAGGAGGTGGTCGTGCATCACCACCGCTATCAAACCCTGAACTTGGTGTTCCGGAGATAAGCCCCCGCTCATATGTTTTTCAGACAGAAACACGTTCTCCAAACATTTCGAGGTGTTCCCCGAACCCAAACTTCCAACTGAAATGACAATCGGCGCCAGTGGTAGGCCCCACTTGACAATTTGAACGCGCCCCAATTTACGGGATCCGATCAACGGAATGAGCACCACATGGACACGATTCCTGCAATCAACTCCAAGCCACCCAGTTTCGTGGGGCACGGTTCTTGAGGTGAGTCACGCGACGCGACCAACTTTTCTGGAATGGTACACTACACTCTGGCCCAGCTGTTTCTGGGACTACTGTAACAAGGCCTGGTCTCGATTTCGAAATTGGCACTGTACTGTACAGCACAATCAATACAGTAATCAGGCAATTTCTATCCCAATTGCCATCAGTGGAACAGTGCTTTTGTCCACTGATCGCCCCCCTGGTTGAGTATCTTCCGCGGTTCATCACAACCAAGTGTTTGGTGGGGTGGGGAACTGAAAGAGGAGCACCACCGGACCAGACAACTAGACTAGACTGTACAGTGACGAGAGCCCCACAGAACAGAAGTAGCAGCAAGTGCGAATGATGGACGCTCAATTCCTCAACGCCATTTCAAGAAAATAGATGAGACGATAACCACGCGGAACTCTTATGTAGCTCTCCGCTTCAGCCATTCCGTGAATCAGACGCGCTTGTCAGTGAACGTTACAGTTCAGTTTCGTTTCAGACGTCGCCGAGTTCATAATGATGCAGTGTCAGTCACAGCTCGCCGTCATGTCCGGCGAGCCGCATCAATGGCGTCAGCACCAAAATCAGGACCAGCAAGGCTCGTTCAACAGAGACTGCCGCACAACCGCTAGGTCAACCTCCGCAGAGTCCGCCGCCTCTCGCGGCGGATATTCCGTCAAAGGGTTTCTGAACACGCTCAAGAGAGGAACTTCCGGAAGCAATATCGCTAAGCGCAGTAGCGCAAGCGGCACAGGGCCGGAACCCGGCGGGACCATGATCCAAAACGTGCGGAGCAGCGGGGCAAACGGCGGGATGGACGGGGACAGTCCGCGAATAACTATAAGTAGACGGAGAACGTTAGCGGAGATGGAGAGACTAGACGTAAACGTCAGGAATCGCAGACCAGACGCACTGGATACTATATCCTCCCCCTCAACTTCTAGTATTACTCCATGTCAGCACATCGCCCCGATGCGGTCACCCTCGCAGCACAAGCAGCCGCAGTATCAAGCCGCGCAAATTTCCCCCGTCGCGTCTCGGCGGAATATGCTTCCGCAGCAGAATATCGCGCCGAGTCCGCGCTGCGGAAAGCCGCCAGTTTCTCCGCCGGTTTCGCCTCCTCTTCCGTCGCCAAAGCCCGGCACCACGCACACATCCGCGGAACCTTCCGCGCACAACGCCGCGCGGAGGTTCAGCTCTTGCCCCGTGCGGTCGGAGGCGCAACGTTTGCCGCAGTCCCCGGCGTCAAATGCGTCGGCCTCCGCTCTCGCAGCTACTGCTATTTCGTCGTTCCCGCTCGTCGGGATGTGGGCCAAGCAGATGAAACAACCCGCGGCGGGTGCGGCGGGCGGAAGCGGGATTTCCGCTCCCGCGCCGGCCGGTGGTTCCGCGCGACGGGAAGACCGCGCGCGGAATGAGTTATTGCGCCCATCCGCCAGCGGAGATGCTCGAAGCGGTTCCCGCAGCGGGAGAAGCATCGGCGCAACTTCCGGCCGATGCAGCTCCCCGGACGGGGATTTTCGTGCGATTTCTGAGGAGAGGCTCGACGGAAAGCGTCAGGATGCCGCGAATGGCGCCGTGACTGACGGCGCGAGTGACGGCGCGTCCGACGGCGGTGATTCCGACGACGAGTTCGTGGATCTTTATTGGACGGCGTTGGAGCACCGCAAGGCGGCAAACACGGCGGTTTCCACGGCGCTAAGTCGACTCGGGGTGGGCACAAAGGGGGTGAGAGGGGAAGCAAGCTCGGGAGGGGGAAGCGCGCGCCACGGCGGGCGCAGCAACGGTGCGGAAGGATTTGGCGGAGGGGGGAAGGCGGAAGGAATCGGCGGAAGGCATAGGCGCAGCAGCAGTTTTGGCGACCTCGCGGAGGCGCATCATCCGCTGCAGGGGGGGGCGGGGGACGGAAGCGGGCGGTTCGCGCGGCGACAGGTGGGACAGGTGGGATGTGGGATGGGCGGTTCTGGTGGCGATATCGCAACGGGCTTGGGCAGGCTCGGAGAAAAAGAAACTGCCGCTGCGGCTGCCGCCGCTGCCGCTGCCGCTGCTGCTGCTGCAGATTTTGCTTTTCCCAAATACGGTGCGGCTAGTAACGGGGTTGCGCGTAGCGGGGATGGGGACTCGCGTCCGGGGCACAGGCGGCGGCACAGCATCACGTGCATCGACACGGAGCTGAAGGAATTCCTTGACTTGGTTGACTTGGACGAGGAGGAAGATGCGGAGGAAGCTGCGGAGGAAGATGCGAAGGAAGTTTCGGAGGAAGATGCGGAGGAAGGGGAGAAGGGAGAAGCGGAGGGAGAAGCGGAGGGGGAAGCGGAGGGGGAAGCGGAGGGGGAAGCGGAGCATGGGGGAGGAATGCGCAGGAGCGGAAGGAATCTTGTAAGGAGAGACACCAGGGGCCGCACGGGTGCGAATGCGACTTTGTCTGCGACTGCATCTTCCACTGTATGTGCGACTGCGACTGTTCGTTCCCCTCCGGTTCCAGCAGCAGCTGCAGCGGCAGCAGCAGCAGCGGCAGCAGCAGCAGCAGCGTCGCCGACTGGCAGTAACTCCGCGATTATGCGCACTAGTAACCCTTCGCCTCGCACCCGTTCCGGTCCACTTCTCGCGAACACCCACGCTGCCACCGCCGCCAGCCCCTTTGCGCGCCGCCCCGCGCGGCGCCGCAGCCAGACGTGCATCGACGCGGAGCTGAAGGAATTCCTTGACTTGATTGACTCGGACGAAGGGGACGAGGGGGAGGATGGGGAGGAGGGGGAGGAGGGCGGAGGATGTTTTCCGCGGAACGGGGAGGAGGGGAGGGCGGGGAGGGCGGGCGGAGAGGGCGGGAAGAAGGGGAAAGGCGGGGAAGGCGAGGATAGAGGTGAAGGAGGGAAAGAAGCCAGGGTGAGCTTTGAGTTTGATACGCCTGGGGCTGCCGCCTCTGCCCGTCGCAGTGCTGCTACTGCCGCCGCTACTGCCGCTGCTGCTGGCGCTGCTGCTGGCGCTGCTGCTGGTGCTGCTGCTGCCTCTGCTGCTTCGTCCGCGGGTGCTTCTCCCAGTAACATCGCAGCTGCTAAACTGCTGTTCAACCCTTGGAGGTCGGCAGCTTTAGCCCTGCCAGCTTCGGCATCAGCCTCAGCATCAGCTTCGGGAACAGCTTCGGCAACAGGCTCGGCATCAAGTTCGGCATTGACTGTACCTCCCGCCTTTGCTGGTTCTCAGAGCCACAGGCGGCGGCACATCATCACGTGCATCGACACGGAGCTGAAGGAATTCCTTGACTTGGTTGCCAGGAGGATGACGTGGACGAGTACATGAGCACCAGAGTCGTGCACCTCCCTGCACCGCTTCCCACCGTTACAGAGCCTCTTCTTGTGCCAGCTGCATACAGCGCAAGAGCAGCAGCGGCAGAGGAACGCACAGGGAGGGGGAAAACCCCCTCTGGCTCCAATTCCTCCTCCTCCTCCTCCTCCGTTTTCTCCACGCCTGTAGCCTTCGACGACCTCCCTCTCGGGTACTCCGCCTCTTCCCCCACTCCCCTCTCTCCGGCCTCACTGATTTCCCCATCCGCCAGCCCCTTAACGTCCCCCTCAGAACCTGTTGCTGCGGCGGCGTTTCCGCGGCACTCACCAGTAGCACTGGCGTCTGGTGTTGCCAGCACGCCTAAGGGCGGGGCCGTGGCTGCACGGGCAGCAGCGGCGGCGGGTGAGAGAAGGGGAGGGTGTGCTAGTGGTGAACCAAGCAGGGTTGGAGTGAGCCGCTCTGGTGGTGTTGCCTCGCTCTGGGCTGCTGCCTCGCACAACCCTGCCATTGCTCAGTCGAGTCGTCGCCCTGCTCCTGCTACTGGTCCAGCGGCTGCTGTTGCGGCTACTGCCGACAGGGCTACTGCTATGGGTCCAGCTCCTGCTGCTGTGGTTCCAGCTGCTGCTGCTGCTGCTGCTGCTGCTGCAGCTGCTGCTGACAGGGCTACTGCTCGACCTGCCAACTCGCTGCGTGTGAACGGCCGGCGCCTCAGCGCGGGCGACCTGAGTGCTCTGCTCGGCGGCAGCAGCTTCGAAACGAGCACTTTGGACAGCGCGCCTGGTTACGCCACTGGTTACCCCACCAAAGACACGGGTGTAACCATGCCTGTGGGTGCGACCAGCAGCGGCGGCGGCAGCAGCAGCGAGCGGGCGAGGCAAATGTGCCTGAGTGAGGCGCGGCGGATCGCCGGCGTCTGCTACCCCTCGATTGTTGCTGGCTCCCCTGCTCCCGTTCTCTCCGGTCCTGCCAGCCCTCCTCCTGGTCTTCGTGGGGCAATCGGGCCTCTTGCATCCCTAGGCCCTCTTGCCCCTCCTCGCCCTGCTTCCACTGGCAAGCCGCTTGGAGGCGACATCACCAGGCTGGCCGAGTCTCCCCGACCTGCCCCTAGGGTTGGTCAGGATTTTCTTGGGAATGCCCTGCCGGGCAGTGCCTGTGAATTTTTTCCTGCCCGTGCAAGGCTGCTGCGGCCTGGCACTCCGGGAGTGCCTTCCCTTACAGGGGCTGGGAGGGTCGCTGATGGTGCTGCGTCTACCCCAGTAGCTGCTGCTGCTTTCTCTCTTGCTGCTTCTCCAGGTAAATGCTTGCAAACACGGACACACCATAGGCGGAGCAGCAGTGCGGTGGTGGTGCCTCAGTCCTGTGAGCTTATGGGTCAGGTTTCAGCTGGATCCGGGCATGGTTCAGGGAGGATCTCATCCATGGGTGCGTATTCCCCCATCAGTGCTGTGGTCCAGAAGGGAGCTTGTGCCACGCGCCCCCTGCGGGAAACTGCGAGTGCTCGTGCGTTGAACGTGAATTCCATAGCACATGCTTTGGAAACTGCGCAACTGGGACAGGCTTATGCCAAGCATTCGGAAATTGCTTAGGGAGTATGATTGAGGCACAGTTCAATCGTTTTGGTGTTGCATAGAGGTTCGGATGCAGGTTCCTTATTGTTTAGTTTTTTTTGCTATGGCTTGTCTAGGGTGCTTTGTCATAATTAATTTGCTCTCTCTAGGGTGCGTTGTCCTATTAATCTGCTCTTCCACACCCTGGATAATTATTCGCTCATTCTTTGTAAATGTTAGCGTAGCCGACGACTGGTGTAGCTGGCTTTTTGGGAGGAACTCGTCGAGGCACCAAAAAGCTGTTGTGGGACTCAGCAATTTCAATTGAGTTGTTTGATCGTGATCGTGCTCCCAGTCTCGCAAATGTCGCAGAGTCGGATAAGTCGGATGAGAGAATCCTGTCCGTTAATCTTAGCATCTGGCGGCCCAGGGTACCTCATATACCCCCTAAAGCGCACAAACCAGCGAGTCGCTTCTCTACACAATTGGTCCTGCATTTCCAGCTGTCCACGGCGCAAGTCCCATATCCCCGTTCCCCCTCACCCCGCTAGTGTACAACGGCAGTGGATTTTGCTTCCCCGAACCGAACACAGCGGGTAGGATGTGGCTTGCGTTGCGCCCCTCTTTGCATGGCAGCGGGGATCATTGCTGGCGTAACTCTGCTCTGCTCTCGTCCGCTGCCCTGTCGTGGAACAACGTTTCGTTTACGATGGCGCAAAGATTTTCCTGCATGCGACAATGCCACAAATCCGTTTCGCCAACTTCCAGCCAATCCGTGCTCAAACGCGACTAGCCGAAACCAAACGAAGCCTTCCCTCTGACGCCCTTCTCTTTTGCCGTCAAAAGCTCAAACACAGACAGAAAACGAGACGAGAAATAGCAACCGCAGCTGACTGAGTGATCGCAAGCCTGACGAGAATAACAACCACCTCACCCAGTTTTCCTGCATATTCTGATAGCCTCCCTAAATTGAGACCTTCCGCCAGCTTAGAAGTATCTGTCCCTGCAGCAGGGATTAGCTCGACTTCCTGATAGCTGGTTCTAAATCGGAGGTTTGGAGACGAAGGTTGTGGAGTCTGTGCGCTTGCACCCCGTATGAAATCAAGTCGAGGCGCAGGCCAGCGCCTGTGTCAACTGGCAAGATTCATCTTCCACTCCCCGGTCGTTTCAACACACAGCAAGCATCACGTATGCGCACATGAATAAGCCACCATACGTGCCGTTTTAAGCAAAAACCGCGTCGTTTTTGGTGGAACTGAAAGTAGACCCTTGCATTTTCCAATCTCTACGAAGTTTTCCGGCTCGTTTGCCTGTTCCCCACATGTTTCGGAGCTGTTGATGCCCTTTTTTTACCGACCGGCTTATGTTTCCGCATTGATCGTCTTAATTCCTCGTAAAGACAGCCAGGAGTTTAGGCGGTGTTCACATGGCGGTTAAATATTGCACGGTAAAGTTAGATCAGAAACATTTTCGTTCGTGCGTTTCTTGATGGCAGAGCTCGTGACTGATGGAGCTCCAATTGCAGAATCAAGACTCTGACGCGGATCCTTGCAAACAGCAACTCATGTTCGAGTTCGCTTTATTGGATGGCCTTGAAGTCTATCCTGCACATCTCCTCTTAGGAGTTCACCGCCATTTTATGCTCTTCGCGTTGACAGATCACGTCAGCAGGAGGCTGGGACAGGAAGTGCCCGGAAACAGAATAATTGAGCATTTGGAGAGTACCTTCAACATGGAAGGACTGAGAAATCGGCTGCTTGGGGAAGAAGAGGCATGGCTGCAGTCTCTTAGCGAAGAGAGTTTTTCCCTGTCAAGTTCTCTTGGATCACAAGAGCAATCTGATGGCTGACTAACGCATAGCTAGTCTGGGTGAGTGTACAATTTGTACTATCTTCATCCAGATTGTAGGTCTGGGTTCCGTTTTTTTGCTAGTTTTGACCTTGTATAATCTGTGCAGTCATTATGTAACATGTACCATGACAATGTTCATCACCGTTAGTTGCCTTACCTTATCTTACCTGGTGAAGGTAGGTAGGTAGCTAGGTAAACAAAAGGGTGAGTTGAGTTTTTCTCTTGAGGCCATTTATACGTTTCTGTTAGACCTCTAATAACGATGAAAAGTAAATGGGTCCTATTTTACCTACTGGCAATCTAGACCAGCAACTTATAGGGTACCGATGTATTGTACCATAATGTGTTATCAAATGCTAGACCCTAGCCAACTCACTAAACGTAGCATTGATGCCCCTTTACAGTCACAACTCGCGTAGTGATTATGGAGAATATCCATTGGAAGATGCAAGTCTGTACAGTTCATTACAGCAATAGAGGAGGCCAACTGTATATGAAGTTCCGCCAATCCAACGGCCGTCAACTCACATCCAGATTGGTCAACGAGCATCCAACGTGCACAACCAGGTTTTCCCCGCTTGGAGCAAGATTAGCAGTGTTCGGTTTCTCGCTACCCCGCCACACGGGCACACCGGGCTCTCTTGTTGCTAGGAGCTGGAACTGAAGAGCGCGGATCTAGACAGACGCTACAGGATCCACGGCATGGCCGACTTGCAGCACGAGCACACACCTACGCAGGCACCGCATGGCGAGGCGGAAGCACTTGCTGACCCAGACAGGCACTCAGGCACTAGCGCTCGGGAGTATGTAGCGCAGCCCCAAGCAAACACTCTCAAGCGGCCTTGGGTAGGCCCTACGCAGCCACTCCTCCTCGGTCTCCGGCGCCTGAGCTCGGTAGACCGACTTTGCTCGGAGGGGACACCATGCAAACGACACCGCGAGGCACCAGCCGCCCCCATGAGCACCAACGACATGCTCGGTGTACCGCCGCTCTCAGGAACTTCGCAGCGGCTTAGTAATGGGGATGCTCAGCCTCCTTTGGCTGAGGCACCACTCACGGTTGGTGAACAGCGGGAGGCGGCTGTTACCCCACGCACGCCCTCGGTAGACCAGCAAGCATCGCCCAATTGCCCACACGCATCCTCTGGGCTGGTGGATGCACAAGACACCCGAGGGGTAGATGGGCGTGGGCAGGAACCAAGTGATCCGGGGATGGACAGGGCAGTGGCGGCGTGGGAGGCGCAACGCCGGCACTTGCAGGAGCTGCATAATAGGCGGCGGCGCGAGCTTCCACTTGGTGCCACGGCAACAGAGTCGCCCGGCACTCTTGGAGCTTCAGTGGGTCCTAGCAGGGCTCCACTTGGACCGCGCTTGGCACGACGGCAGGAGCTGAGGCGTTTGTTGGTAGCTGGCACGGGCGGTCGGCAAGAGTGGGCGACGGCAGAGCAGGCGGAGTCGACAGCGGGGAGGCAGGAGGTGCAGGGGGCCCTGCTGGTGGATGAGGGCCGGGAGTGCGGGGCAGGTGGGCAGCAGGGGGTGACGGATGCAGGCCTGCCGGAAAAGGTGCTGAGGAGGCAGCCGAGCCGTCTGGCGGAGGGCCAGCTGGGCCTGCCGACAAAGGTCCAGGGGGAGTTACTCGAGGAGGAGCATTGGGAGCGTGGGGAACAGGGACGGAAACCAGGGAGGGAGCAACCGGAAACGCTGTCGGCGATGCAGCAGGGTCTGCCGGTGGCTGCAGGGGAGACTAGAGACATCAATCCCTTCCCGAAGGCACGAACGGGGGCGTCTCTAAAGGGATGGGCTGGAGCTGTGGAACATACTTTTCTCTTTCGGAGCGCGCAAGGACAAGGTGTGCAGCCCGCGAGCACGGGGCAAGAGGGCGTGCGCCGTCGTGGTCGAGGTCGCGGTCGTGGTCGTAGCGGGACTGCTCAACGAGGGCGCCTCGCGGGCCAGCACGAGCAACAGTCGGAAAGGCAGCCAAGTGAGTTGCAGGAGCAGCAGTTTGAAAGGCAACAACAGCGGAGTCAGCAGGGTGGGCTGCCTCCCCGGCAGCATGAGCAGCTGGGCGAAGGTCAGCAGGGATGGCAGCCAGGAGAGCAGCAGAAACTGTGGCTTAGGGAGCAGCGGGAACTGCAAATGAGGGAGCAGCAGGGAATGCAGCCAGGAGAGCAGCAGGAACGGCAGCCAGGGGAGCAGCAGAAACGGCAGCCAGGGGAGCAGCAGGACATGCAGATAGGGGAGGAACAGCAGGAAATCCAGATGGGGGAGCAGCAGGCACGGCAGCCAGGAGAGCAGCAGGAAATGCAGATGGGGGAGTAGTTGGAACTGCAGCCTGGGGAGCAGCAGGAGCTGCAGCCAGGGGAGCAGCAGGAAATGCAACGGGGGGAGCAGCAAGAAATGCAGCCAGGAGAGCGGCAGGAAATGCAGTCAGGAGAGCAGCAGGAGCTGCAGCCAGGGGAGCAGCAGGAAATACAACGGGGGGAGCAGCAGGAAATGCATCCAGGAGAGCAGCAGGAAATGCAGCCAGGGGAGCAGCAGGAAATGCAGCCAGGGGAGCAGCAGGAAATGCAGCCAGGGGAGCAGCAGGAAATGCAGCCAGGGGAGCAGCAGGAAATGCAGCCAGGGGAGCAGCAGGAAATGCAGCCAGGGGAGCAGCAGGAAATGCAGCCAGGGGAGCAGCAAGAACTGAGGCTGGAGGAGCAGCACCCGGGAGAGCAGCAGGGGCAGCAGCTGGGCACCTGGGTGGGTGATACATGGGAAGTCATGGGTGTAGCGAGCCCACTTCGAGTGGAGCAGCAAGAAATGGAGACAGATTTGGTGCCTGTGTCACAGCTCTCGGGCCACAGTGGGGAGCACCAACAAGATCTTTTTGTTCCTCCTGGGGAGCTGCAGATAGGGGAAACGGATCAGAGAGGGCAGCAGCTGCGTGAGCTGGGCGCTCAGGCGCAGGGGCCCGTGGACGACCAACTGCCACGAGGCAAGGGCAGGAGGCGACGCGGAGGCCAGGGCAAGCAGCGGTCGGGCAATCAGCAGGATCAGCAGGCAGAGGGCGAGTTGGGGCGGCCGCTTACGAGCCAACGTCCGGGAGGCCAGCTGGTGCGACGGCGGCCACTGTCAGGGGAACAGGGAGTGACTGCAGCACCTGAGGGCGTGCAGCAGGCAGGGGGACAGCAGGGAGTGACTGCAGCACCCCAGGGCGTGCAGCAGGCAGGGGGACGACAGGGAGTGACTGCAGCACCTGAGGGCGTGCAGCAGGCAGGGGGACAGCAGGGAGTGATTGCAGCACCTCAAGGCGTGCAGCAGGCAGCGGGACAGCAGGGAGTGACTGCAGCACCCCAGGGCATGCAGCAAACAACGGGACAGCAGGGAGTGACTGCAGCACCTGAGGGCGTGCAGCAGGCAGGGGGACAGCAGGGACTGATTGCAGCACCTCAAGGCGTGCAGCAGGCAGCGGGACAGCAGGGAGTGACTGCAGCACCCCAGGGCGTGCAGCAGGCAGCGGGACAGCAGGGGGTGACTGCAGCACCTCAGGGCGTGCAACACGCAGGGGGGCAGCTGGGGGCGAGGGCAGCACTTCAGGGCGTGCGGCAGCGGCAGCAGCAGCGGCAGAAGCGTCAGCAGCAGCAGCAGCAGCAGCAGCAGCCCCCCCCAATCCCTCCGGAAAGCCCCACACCGGGGGTTGCGGAGAATTCAGCCACTCCTGACACGGCTCCACTTGCTCCAACTTGTGTCCCTTGCGAGTTCTGCTTTCACACATTTCCGCCTGGTGGTGCGGCCTCCCGCCACATAGTTGCATGTAAAGCGGCAGATGCTCAGCGGCGGGCTCAGGCCCTTACTTCCTCCCTGAACCTGAGCGAGGTCTTCGGGGCAGATCCAGTACCTCCGCGGGATATCGGCGAGGAGGTGTGGGGGGCGGTGCCTTCGTGGGACTGGGAGACTTTTTTCAGTATTCATTCTGTGTCGGGAGAGCTTCTTCGTCGGGTCCCGCAGCGGGCGCGACTGGGGGTGCTTGATGCATTGTGCTGCATTCTCAAGAGACTGAAGGCTTCCCCTGGGGATGAGGCGGCGACGCTGATGTTCCTGGCCTTCCCGCGCCTCATTTTGGGAGTCCCCGCGAAGGAGGGTCTTGGACGAAGGGCAGCCATAGTAGGGCGTCTCGGAAAGTTCTGGGCAGGGGAATGGCAACAGCTGTTCGAGGCTGCCTCTGCCGCGTTGACTCCGGCGGCGCGACCTCTTGCCTTCTCCTTACCTGAGCGAGATGCTGATGCCATCCGTTTGGCCCGATGTCGCACGAGGTGCCAAGTGGGGGAATGGAGTCGAGGACTAGCATGCCTTACTGCGGGTGACTTGGCGCAGCCCTCTCAACTAACAGTAGACCGGCTGACAGCAAAGCACCCGGCCAGTGAGGTGCCAGTTCCTGAGTGGGTGGAGCACTTTCGCGTAGACGTTTCTCATCTTCCCCACCTAACTGAAGACATCCTCAAGCATGCTATTCATTCCGCAGCGCGAGCCTCAGCACCAGGCCCCTCAGGATGGATGACAGAGCACCTCCGAGACACATTTCTCTCGGAGCCTTCCTATCTCCCGCATCTGTTGGAGGTGTTCAGGCAGTGGATTTCGGGATGCGTTTCTGAGCGGGTGCGGCCCTGGCTT